CCTAATTATCGTAGAGTGTTTAGTTTAGCGTCTAATGTGTTATCAGTTCGTTAATTATTTATTAACTAATATTTACAATATTTAAAAAAAGTTTCTTCTGATAGATCAAACTGTTATTTCATTTTTGAAATTATAACACATTAAAATAAATTATAAGTTAATATACTATATTTTGTTCAGAAATGTGAGAAAAAAATTGAATTGTAACGTATGAGAATAACGATTGAATAACATACGAAAAAAGTATTCTGGTGCTTGTTATCCTGCTAAATTTAGTACTTTCCTTATCTAAAAAAATACTATATATATTTCCCATTGACGATTTACAGGAAATGATGAACTGATAACGCGCTTTTGTTACACACGAAACTACGTCAAAATATGCGCTGTGGTATTTCAAAAAGTTTAATTCTGATGTTTTCAGTTACTCTAACAATTGTAATTAAAGAATAATTAAATGTTACTAATGTAAATTATTTAATTTGATGATTATTATATATCAGTCAATTTATTTAGCTACGATAACAAAATAACATACAATATCGAATTAAATGAGATTAGATTTATAAAACTTTACAAAAACTAAAAGACGTTCCAGTAAGTAAGACGAAAAATTCGTTTTCGAATTCATATTGAACCCGTTTAAAGTTCTTAAATTCGAATTTTTATAGCGAAAAGTAATTTTTTTGGATGGATCAGTCTGGGACATTTTTCTTCCGCTATTTCACTTAAATATTTATGTGTGGTGATTAGTGACCGTTAATCGATATTTATTTAGAAATCGTGAGATGCGATCTGGTATGATGTATATCCAACGTATGTAAACACAAAATAGCAAAATCTCACTGGCACTCTCGACACGACACGCAAGAATGACACAATTACACAGAAGACAAACACTTTGAGTGAGTAGAAATACTTTGATTGAATATATAAAATATATTTAGCATTGTATAAATTCACTTTTCCACATCCAAAATGTAATTGTAATATGTAAACAATGTTTGTAAATTCCAGGCCCTGAAGATGATCTCAATAAAGATCGAAACGTGGCACGATAAAGAAAATGTTTTTCTGAAACCTATATCTCATCGGACCGCATCTCACGATTTCTAAATAAATATTAAATATTTATAACCAATTTGGACTTTATTTATTGTAATTACGGTATTACATCTTTTCGAAAGCTGCATTTCTCTTCTCTAATCCCTATCGAGAACCTTTGGTTTTCTATGTCATTAAATGTGAGAAAAATAAGGATCAAATCGATAAAAATTTTCAAAACTTTTTTTTATATCTACGGATCATATTTATTTCCGGAGACCATGTTTGTTCCGTCATGTGTAGCTTATGGAGTTCTAAACACTTGTAATGTTTCCGGTAGATCGGTTGTGTTGATTTAATGATATAACCGTTTTTGTGATTTTCGTCAAAAAATAAATCGTAAGCAATCGGAAGGCAAAACTTTCGAGCGGAAAAAATATTTTTTAATTTTCCCAAAAATTTGTATCCATGGGTTATTTTTTGAGTGGGAAAAACGAATATCAAATTTGTTTCGCGGTATATAGGTAAAATTAAATTGTGTCCTTCCTTGACAATAGTGATAGTCCTCAGACGGGTATAATTTGAATAATTGCTGTTTGTAAAAGACCCCAAATTTATTTTCTGTTTATATTCTTAGGGGGTAACGAACTAGTACGGTTCGATATGAAATGGTACATCAATGTGGATTATTTGTACATAGTGCATCTAGCGTGACTTACACCATGCTATTGTGGCGGGGAGCCGAGTAGAGGCCAGTGGAAATTTCCACTCGCTCCAGGCGGCCAATCCGGGGCCGTCGGCTCGTCGAGTCTCCTATTGATTCACTCGCCCAGCCAGCCGTCGGCATTCTCTTCCTCTTCGACTCACCTTCTTCCTCACGCCAATCCTTTCTGCTTGACTTTTGACGCCAAAAACCGCCCCCTTTTGACTTCTTTTGGGTAGAGGTAGGACGCAGGTCACTCCGTACACCGTTATCTCCACGGTCTTCCTCTACGATAGTTTCCATTCACAACTCCCGTTTTGTTGACGTTATCGACACTCGTGACGTGTATGTTTAGACTTTGACCCTTTGACATTGCAAAAGACCTTGCAACTATTGTACGTACCTTGCTGCACCCACCCTATAACTAAGCCTGACATCCTCCATCAGCTTCAACCACAAAAGACGTTTCACCGGGTTTAACCTTTTAATTCATCACCAGTTAGACAGTGTGAGATATCTTGTTGATCAACAAGGCTATGAACTTGTGAGATTTCCTCTTGGAGTATAAGAAATGATGGAGCTACGTCTTTTGGTTATCTTCTTTGAAATATTCTCATCTCTATTATTACAGTAATGAAAAGCCATTGATAATGTCAGTAGACTGGTTAATTCTAGAACTCAAATTTATTAAAACAAACACACTATAAACGGCGAGAAACCGAAAAAATTCTGATAGACCTAAAATGATCGAAAACATCAAACTACAGAAGAACTTGGCATGTCATCTTAGGCGTGTCGGCATTTACCCATCTTTTTGGTAGATTGGTTGCGACTTCTTATCAGAAAACCTTTTCAACTTATAAAAAGAGCATAAAGATTAGCCACCATCCTCTAGCCAACAAATAAGTACATATTATGAAATGCTGAATAAATATCACTATTATGTAATGCTTCAAGCTTCTGGATCTGCTGATCACTCTTACATGTTTCACTTCGTTCATTGGATTTATGTCCCGTGTGTATGTCCTTTAGTTTGTTTTTTAATTTTTTGATGGTGTCCATCCGATTTTGTGGAACTCCATAAGATGATGGGTAGGAATAAATTATCTTTTCCACAATATTCCTATATTAGACCGAAACACATCTGGTGAAATAAATGTCTATTGGAGAAATTTATTTCCTACCCATCATCTTTAGGTTGTCCTTTAAAAATGCATTACAGGTATGTTGAATATTTATTTCCAGAGTTCTGCGAGGTGATGTTTCCCTAGCAACCGAGTACCCTTTGTAGGGTAAAGAACAAACAGAAAAGGTGTTTTATATTAGATATTATTTTTACAGGCTGATTTCTGAAACGCCTACTTGACTACAGGTCTTACAAGTATATAACATTTTACGAGAACAAGCGTTAATGCGCATGTTCCGCCTTTTTCATAACAATTCAAATTTACATTTCAACACCCTTGAAGTTAAGGGATATCTTTCAAAGCTCTTTTTCTATGTCTAAATTTGTTTTCAAAATATGCTGTAAACATCTTTGTAAGTTAGTTGTAAGTGAGTCATGTAGGACTGCAACTTTAACAAGAGTCATTAGTCAATTGGACGATCATGTTCAATTAGAAGATAATTGCATTGCACAATAGTTAAACATATATTTGGGATTTTGCCATATTTTGGTCGTTGGGCTGTTGTATATGTCGTTTTTATAGGGTTGATTTGTCTGATAAAAGCAAGTTGAATATTTATTTTGCGATGAGGATCTGATTGATGTGGTGTAGCTTGTGCATTATTTTTGTAGGTTTGAATGATGGTTTGATAAGGAAATCGAAAACCTCGAAGGAAGATGATGAAACATGTCAGACAGGTGAAGACAACCACAGGTAAATCGTGATGAAACGACCTAACTATGGATAACAGTAATGTATACTGATAGATAGACACAATATTCATTTCACACGCAGTTAAAAGTTAATTGCAAGAAATTCAACAATTCTACATTAAGAAAATAGTGAAGATCTGCCAAAAAAATAAATTAATTAATTTAAAAAAAAAAGATGAGGAATCATTTACTTAGCTCGATAGTAAAGAATAGGACTGTGACAAACTTCATTGCTCAGGAAGGAAGAAGCGGTGAAATCATCAATAATTACCAGTTTGTTGATAATATATCAATTTCCAAATATTAGTAAACAACCAAACAGTACAGGATTAAGGCGAAAAAGGCTATAAAAGTTTCTGTTTGTTTTGAATTGGCCAATAGGTGTTTTAATCGATTTGATCGTATCTTCGAAATTCCAACAGTGGATAATCAACATGTCCGTTATTGCGTTGTAAATTTTGCACTTGAAAATAGTTCCATTGAACAAATGGCGCCTTATTTTGAAGTACCCCGCCGTTTCACCTTTCGAAAATCTAAAAATAAACTGGAAACCAAAGGCCACGTACCGGCCGCTTGTTCGGTTTTTGAAGAGCTTTCCGGCCGAATGTCGGTCCCTGCCACGGGCCAAGGATCCTTCGTCCTAATTTCTTTCCTAATCATAGGTTTGGCAATTGGTAATGTTTCGACGAACGGATTATCTCTGAGCGAAATGACTCAATGAGTCAAGTTCAATGTTCGTAAGACATGACGCACACGATCATTGCCATTCAGCCGATCTGAACATTCACTTTCCGCATTCCTTCCCCGTATGTTGTTCCCCCTCGCTCTATTCCTTTAACGGTTCTAAAGGGGTCTATGTACCAATCTATAAACATTGATACTAATAAACAATTCATTCATACATGAAAGATTGATGTACTAAAAAACTTGAAAAGTTTGGTACCTAGGATCGAAATGTTACAGTCAAGTTTTATCTATATCAATCGAAATATGGATTATTTTGAGACACAGTTTGTCATTTCATTGTATAATTGACTTATAAGTAAAACTTTGAATGTGTATAAATGATCATAATAAAGTAAGTTAGATGGCACTGTATAGCGCAAAAAACAGGAGTCATGCAATTGGTACTAGGAGGTATAGATTCAGTAATACAAATTTGCATTGCACTTCTACATTATTGTAATGATATGTTCGTTATCATTTAAATAAAATGATAATCTTCGTAAAGGTGAAGGAACGGATATACTGAGTTTGGAATCTCAACTTTACAATGTAATTACAATGCGGTATACTGTAACATGAAATTTGACCAAGTGGTGAAATTATGTTTTTTTTTTAAGCTAATCGGCCACATGATATTTATTAATAACCTTTGTTGCGGTGCTCAACCGTTTCGGTCGTTCGACATACAAAATAGACATGTTGTTAATATTGATTTTATTGTGTTGGAAGTATGCGGATGGGAGTATTCCCGTTGTTCCCGGAAGGAGATCCGCGGAGGCTAACGAGTACCCCTACGTTGTGAGCATAATTGACCGTCGGGAAATCCACAGATGCGGTGGCTCCTTGGTACACCAAAGCTGCGTCCTGACCGCGGCGGTTTGTATAGGTGGGTACTCGTTTTACGCCAAAACATTTTACACGCTGGACGAGTCCGACTTTAAAATAGTAGCCGGGTCGAAATCAATGGGCACATTTACTTCCGGAATGGGTCAAAGGTTAATATTCGTTCAAAAGTTGATCCTACACCCAGGGTTGGAGATGTACAAGGCCGGCCACTGGAAGAACAACGTCGGCCTGGCGATCACGGAAAAGCCGGTTCGGTTCGCCCGTCATATACACATACCGGAACCGTTCCAAAGGTATACAGACGTCGAACTGTTGACCATGGGCTGGGGGAGGTCGACCATCACATGGAATCCAGTCGAGAAAAAGTTCGACTACAGCGGCCAGTCGGAGGAGTTGCAGGTTTTCAAATCGAGCATGTTAGACGTCAACACATGCAGAGAATGGCTGTGCACCATTTACGCAATGGACAACTGCGAAAAGACTGATACTAACGAGTTTTGCGGCGTCACCAGCGTTGGCAACACCACTGGAGTCTGCTCCGGGGACATCGGGATGCCAGTCGTATTCAACGACACCCTCTGGGGGGTCGTTAGCTGGGGCATGCCTTGCACGTCCTCTCTCAAGTCGAAATTCGCCATCTCCGACCTCCGCCTAGTCCACGACTTAAAAACGCTATATCCATTCACGAAAAGTTCGAGCCTCCTTCCAACACATGCGTACTTCCTTTTTGCACTTTTAACAGCTGTTATTTCTTATTTTTGAATAAAGCGTTGTCATTTTGTAACTGTCTTCTCAGCCCTGTTATAGATACACGTTTTGGAAACAATATAGCACTGGTACATGTATCATCTTTAGTTAGATTTCTAGACCTATTTCGGTTAACATTTAATTAATCATTTCGTTACAGGTTTCACAATGGGGGTAAACATGAAGTATCATTTGCCTCCCAAGATTATTCTATGTCTATTAACGTAGTCGCATATGCCTTCCTGCCACAGATCACGTAGACGTACTTTTACCATAGCGCGAGGTTGACCTCAAAACCAAGAGCGCCTGCTCCCCGAATCAAAACATGACCCAATTCTCATCCCCCCTCAATCAATGTTAAATGTAACATACAGTCCTCTGTAAGACAATGCTCAAAAAAGTTTTTACCCGCAGAAAGCTTTTCATTGCACTAAACGATAGTATGAACAGTCAGGTTAATCCTAAAAGTGTGGCGAAACTGTTGTATATTTATTTAATTTTTAAATAACGTATGTAAGTCGTCAAGCTAAACAATTGGACAAGTTTTATTGTATAGGAAAATTATATTAAAAATCACTTTTTCTCTTCTCTTTTCACATTTACGTCATAAGTCCGTCAGTATGTTTGTTATTTTACACTTTACGTCATAAATATTGGTTTTGTTTGCGTAATACTGTCTTTATTGCATAATCGTTAGTGCCTGAAGTGAAAACAAAAGCAAAATCTTATTTGCCCTAAGTTTTAATTGAAAAGAATAGAAATTGACATCCATTTCTAAAATGAGTTTAACGTTCGAGTATATTATTGGCGTGTTGTTCAAGTCCCAGCTGCGAACCCATCCGACAACGCCAAATATCATCCCTCGGCACACGAGGGGCCCACCTGCGTCTGTCGGGTAAATGCTGCTGTTAGTCAAATCCGAGGTTCCGCAGATGCTGCCGTAAGAGCTTAACTTAAAATTGCAAAACGTTTTATCGATCTTGCAAAGCCTTTTTGAACAGAAAAAGTCCCTGAGGAGCTTCACCTGCGTCACCCTGATAGAATGAGAGTCGTTAGCGTACTCATAGAGGCTTAGGTCCGCGTTCCATGTGATGCTCGGTCTGCCCCAACCAAGAGTGAAGCAGGTATCGCCTGAGTTCTTCAAATCTTTCAACTCCTTGCTGATCTGCCGACTCCTGTGCGAAAACAGGCGGATCGGATGGACGTAGTCGTTTTGGTTCATCGGACTCGCAAGCATCCCAACTGCAATGTCGTGTGTGTTCATCCCACCGAGTACTGTGTCGAACGAAGAATGCGGCCGCCAAGATTGTACCTCTCGTTTTTTGTAACCGTATTCTTTAGGCCAGAGGAACCTGCTTCCGGCCACGACGAAGTACAGCTTGCAGTCCTTAATTCGAAACGCTTTATTTGCCCTGTTGTACTTGGTAACGCAGTGGCCGGCGGTGACAAAATTTAAGTCGGAGACAAGCGCTCCTCCGCATTCCGAGAGGCCAACTCTCGAATCGACAATGGCGATCATGAAAGGAAATTCTTTGTAGTTGGCATTCCTCTGTACTTGCCTTCCATGATTCTCGATAATAAAACCAAATATGATTAAGACCAACCACATCATCACACTTACAATGTGGTAGATCATCTGTTATATTAGTAAACTTTTAAAAATTTAGATTTTCACTACATTGCCATTTTTTATTGGCCTCCAGGTTTCTTACAAGTAATTTCGCTATACCACGCTTTTAAAATGTTTTGAACAATTTTGAACGGTAATCTATAAACAAAGGTGGGCCCCCATATGCCAGTTTTTAATCCTTCACTGAAACTATTTGGAAATAGGAATGATCTTCCTCTCCCAGCTAAGTTTTGTGGAATAAGCAGTGACAGACCTACTGATCTTTTAATCAGTGCTATCTCGTCTCCGAAACTGGGAGCAGATGGAAACGACTCATCATTTCTTGAGAAAATAGTGTTCAGTTCACTTATAGCACTCACGGATGTTCAGATCATGATTGCCTTGGGGAGACTGTAAGTGCGTAGAACTGTTGGAATGTACACGATAGACCTGGCCTGCTTACTGAACAATAATGAAATTTTGCGTCTATCGGTTGAATTGGACAAATTGGTTTCAACAAGTAGAGTTTACCTAGGAGGCGTTTATCAGCATTGCTGATGTGGTAGATAATAGGTAATACTTTGTTTTGTTGATTTTTGATTTTGATTGAGTAGCCTTCTGGCTTTTGTACTTTTTCTAGTTTCTTAGTGCAGTTCATTTGACTAGATTTTTCGTATCATAGGTTCTTCCTCCTCATTACGTAACGTACAAATGAGGTGACCATTAAAAATACTCATGTTGTGCAGGTGTTTTCTCAGATGCCAGAAACCGGATAACCTTGAGTCTTACCATATCTAACTGTACCAATATGAACGCCAGTTTTGGTGAGGGTTCTTTAATCAAGTTTACTTGTCTGGAATCTCTGGAGCTCCTCCACGTCATCTTTTATGGACCTATTCTGAGATGGTGTTGGCTGATCTTGTTATATCAAGTATACGTTTTGTACCTTATAAATGATCTTGCAGATTTACCTTTGGCCAGTTTGTCTTCTTGTTCATTACCCAGAACTTCTTTGTGCCCTGGCACTAAGATATTGTCAGTTATAGTTTTCCCAGGTTTTGGAGGAGTTAATTTGGATGTGGCCTTTTATGCGCTAATACTTTTATGGCTGCTTGGCTGTATGAGGTCTGACAGAGGAACCCATTTTAAAATTTTCTGTGCCCAATCTTAAAAGACCGAGGTATACTTCCCTGGTAAGTTTGATTGCTCTTGGCTTTACAAAGAAAATAGTTGACCTGGATCCTTCCCTAGTTTGGCTCCTTTATAGTCTGTTAAGTGTATAGTATGTTTCCGGGATCGCAGTCAATCCCCATTTCTAGAAAGGGGTATCTGATTTTATTTGTTATTGTTGTATGCCGAAATTTTAGTCTCCATCCAGTTTGTTTTTTGAGCCCATATGCGCTTTTCATACCTTCTCATTGTATGTTTCCAATGGAAGCAGGTTTGATAGTTCTTCTAAGGCTATCAGAATGCGATTGTAGTCATTTCCCATGAATACAATCTTTGCGTACTGCCTAGCTTTGTTGAGCTTTCGTCCGTCAAATTAATGAGCCTTAAATGTTAAGATATAGGTGACTTCATCGATTTTGTACATTTAAATAAATAACCTTAGATCTAATAAATTTACATACAATTCAAGGTTTGGTACTTACTTGTGCCATAATGGACAGACAGTCAAACTATTTGGCTAAAGGAAATTTGGTTAGTTCGTTAATTACGTAAATTAGGAAAAGAAAATAACCCAATACTTTTCCCTGCGGTCTTCCAGCCCACAACGGTTTAAAACGTTAACGTGGTAAAACATTACATGGTAAGTACAAATGAACTGTTTGATTAAAAAAACGTAATAATAATAATAAAATAAAATAAAAATCTCAACTGTTTTATTACTTTACACAAAGTATGTAATGGCTTCTCCTTGAAATCTTGCTCATCTAGTGAACTTTTCCTTCTCTAAAATTAGATTTCAACACCAACTCGCGGATTTTTCTTCGTGAATTAAACTTTTTCGAAAGTAACGAAAGTAGAATCTTCCGTCTTGCGAGCATAACGAATTGATACCTGACTCTCGTTGCTGTTATTTATTAATAAAGCTTAATGAAAATTTCTAGTACTTTGGGGGTTCGCTACACAAATGGTCGTATCAATCCAAGGGGTACGGTTTTTTTTTTTTTTTTGAAAAATAGCACATTTGTCCGACTTCGAATTCAGGCCCACCGAAATTGCAGCACCATATTTCTTCTGAATACTTACTTACTTCTGATCTACTGAAATTGTGAAATAGGAAGCACACATACATAAAAAAAACCTCATCACTTAAATTGTATATATTGTGAATAACAATGCAATGTACAAATAACAAATTTAATTTATTGTAAAGCCTGGATTACACTGTTCGTTTTATCCAATGAGTACAAAAATATTCAATATACTATAAAAAGAAATTTGGTTCCGAATATGAAATCCTCTTTTTATAGACGCTGTGAAAGCTTAATGATGACGAGTAACAGCTGTTGATACATTTACATGTCCAAACGGCTTCAACAATAATTCAACAAACTCTCTTAGCGAGAAGACCTGCGAGGCCGTTAGAAAATAAAAACAACAATGGTTAAGTCGTTTGGTTTACTAAAAAGCGTTTGATACACAATTGTCTACAAAATCATGTACATTTGCAATATCACACGAATTCAATTAACAGTTTTTCTCTACATAAGCTTAGTTTATATCAAGAAACGACGTAGTCGTTCAGGCAACAGTTTTATTTGATCTTTTTTTAAATATACATTTTACAATTGTTTTATTCGTACATTATACTTAAAGAAAGAAAAACAATGTAGAAGCTTAAAACATAAAATGCATCACAGCCTTCATTCAAATATACACTCTTTTATATGTAAATTATAAATTACACATCTAGTATATATATATTATAATAAAACTATGATAAATTTATTTACAATATATGATTATTATTAATCACTGTAAAAGGAATTACAAAAATAATAAGAAGTATGAACAGAGGCAGGTTTTGTTATCAAATTTACATTTGTGTATTTCTTTTTTACGGTAAAAATCTTCAATTTATTTAATGTATTTTTATGTATTTTTTTGAAACTGAACACTCAATTATTTCCAGTCTTGTAATTTTATTTATTTTATATTCCTTTTTTATTGTTGATAAAGGTTGGTTTTAGTACTCATGAAATACGATGGTTTGATTTTTTTAGATAGTTTTTGAAGATGGAAAAACTTGAACATCGTGATAGGGAAAACCTCAGATTTCTGTTTTATGAAAAAGACAGAGAGCTTTCGTAAAACCAAAAGACCTAATGAAGTTTAGTCGAAGCGATTTCAACGCAAAAGCCTAAAGGCCGGTTTTTCAAAAAACATTTTTTTTAATGATATTGTTTTATATCAAAACATGACTAGGACCACGGATTGGAATCTTTCTTTTCCGTTTTTATTTTTAAATATATATTACGAATATTCTTTTTCACTATTTTCTAACCAAAAAATATTTATAACAAGAATTAAAACGAACCTACCAAGTAGGGATCACAGACAAACAATTAGCACTAATTTTCACTTTAGTTTTTCAATTTAAAAAATCTGGTAACAATTCAGAAATTCCACACATAGGAGTACTAAAAGATGAAGTAACTTTTCGTACACTTGCTGTATAAAAAAGGAACTGCAAAACCTCTGTCCAATTTGCTTTTATAACATATTAAATTATAAAAATATTGTTAATATAAAATCTCTTCTAGCTAAGAGTGTTTTTATTTATTACAAGTACTAAAATGTATAGACGATTTTTCGAGAACACATCGCGAAAAAGTAGTAAGTACACTTAATAATTTTCATACTGGGAAAACAAAAACCCTTAAACAACAAATAAACGGAACTCAGTCAAAATCAACACCAGTTGGATAAAAGAAATAATAATAAATATTGGAATGATGATGTTTTCACCCGATGGGATGCTTGGCATGGTCGGATGAATGCGCTCGTGTTTCCTTCCTTACCGATTGTTTTATGCATGTTAAGGATTTGATATGGTCCTGAGGACTCTTTTGACGAAAGAGGCGAAGGCGCTTTTCTTCGTCCTTTCTTCGACGAAAAGTGGCGTCGACTCTTTCGAATCTCCTCGGCGACTAAATAGACGTCTTCTTTTCTCAAGAAGCTCTCCTCGCATCTCCTGTAAAAAAAGAAAAACAAAGAGAAAACGTTATTAAAAGTCCTGTTTTGAAAAAAAAATGTCATTCCTCGCTGCCAGCCAAAACCGATTTCTATAAAAAAAAAAGTGCACTCTATCTTTAGAAATTGTGCTGCATGCTGAAGAGAATCCTGTTTTACTGATTGAGATAATGCTTCTACCACAGACTTATTTACTCTAATCAAAGCGGTTAAAGTAAACAACTTATAAACCATTAAAAGGCAACAAAAGGGTATAAACCTTTTTTTTGTTTATACAACAAAAGCCGAGATAGGAGAAAAGAGGACGAAAGACAAAGAACCGGTATGGGTTATCAAAAGTGTAGAGGAAGCAAGTGGGACAGTTTGTATAATTATAAAATGTTATTTAATCTTGTCACATAGTTTTTATCGCCGGAATTTCTGGGTTGGGAGATTAATATTGTTTAATGCCACCCAATCTAACGTAATTCTGTTAAGAGCTGCAAAATCGTAATATTGTACTGTAGGATATGTGACCAACGGGTTCTGTAATAATCGACGCTTTTCCGTTACCCTTATCAGACAGAAGCTAACGGACAACACTTCGATAAACGCACAGACCAACCACTGATGATTGTTCATATGATAAACCAGCGAGAATAGGCAGGCTACATGTTCTACTAATTAACCTTTAGAAATTATAAAAAGGACATATATATTAACAAACGCGTAGACTTAATCATCTCGCAAACCTTACAAAACACATATTTAACATTTCCATTTTGCAGTTCACTTTTCAGACGAACTATAAAACCTATAAAACGTCAGGACAGTGAAGAAATGCCAAAGACATATTTAACATCTCTATCATGCAATGCAATATAATCGAACAAGCTGAAGGTAGAATCATCACATCAAGATAACCTTCTGACTACATCAATAACAACCAGCTCTCTTGAATATATGGAATATATATTTCGGGACTCACATGTCGCCTCTTCCGCGATAACTTTCGCCAGCCTGGAAGGATGTGCTCCAAATGTGCAAAAAACGTACCACGATGCATGTTTGGAGCACATCCTTCCAGGCTGGCAAAAGTTAATTCGGAAGGGGGGACATGTGAGTCCCGAAATATATTCGATATATGGAGAGTTGTTATTGCTCCAAGTTTTTAACAAACCTGACCACTTCTGACTAACATGTCGCTTTGATTGAACCCAAAAGGTTTGTCTGAGAAAATAAAGTAAAACGGTTTTCGAAACATCTCTACTAGTTTAATACAACTTCAATCAGCTTATGGTACACTGGTGGCCGTGATCGTTAGGGCGTTACGATCTAGTTTTTGTCCTGGGTGCGAATTCCAGCTTTGACCTCGGTCCTTATTGTGTTTACAACTGTATTTTTTTGCCAATGTGGGAAACCAAAAAGTTTTTCAAAAATAAAAAACCTTCTAGGATTGATACTGAATTAAGAATTTCAAGAAAGCTATCAAGAGTCTAGTTTTGTACTTACTTAGTCACTAACAAAATTGACTAGAAAGACCAATTTGCAAACAATAGGGATTGTTTCTATTGGTTAAAAACAAAACAAGTTGACAAGAGAAAAACCGCCTGATGGTTTTTATCGTCTAGTCGATGTAAGGTCGGCATCCGTTTTCAATTAGAGAAAATTGGAGGCCAATTAAAAAGATTCGGCCGGTTCTAAATATAAATCCCTCGTCCACCACACACTCATGGCCCAGCAACGTCAACAAACCCCTTCTATTCTTCGTCTACGCCGTCAGTTTCTCCCACTCGCGTAGCCCAGAGATCTTCAGAGGACGTCTATTTTTAGATTTTGTCACTCTCCCAAGTATCTCTTTCTCTACATCTCCATCTCTTGTCTGAATCCCAAATGAATCTGCCAACTAAAAATACCAACCCTTTTAGACTTATTATTGGAATAAAAAAAATCTAATTCAAAATTCTTTCACTAAAAAAAACTACAATTTAAATTTTGTGAAAAAATCTGCGAGCAGATAAACCTTCATCATCCTGGCCTCGTGCCCGACCATACCTATAAAAAGGAACGAAACACAAGTAAAACGCACAGACCAACCACAGCATATGACAAAATGCCAAAAAAGTCTGCAACAAAAGTCAAACCACATGTATTGGGTTGTCCGGAAAATAATGCAGGATTTTAAGTTTTCATTAAAAAAAATCTATATAAAATATTCTGTTTACGTTTACAGGATTACTCATTTGTATGAATGTCAACACTTATTAATCCTCTTCCAAATGATATTGTTTGTTTACCTCTGTAGCATTCCGCTACTTGGAAATAATTCAGTCATCCTTATAATGTCAAAGCGAGAATTTCGTACGATTTTCTTTTACGAGTTTAAACTCGGCCGAAGTGGAGCCCAAACGGCTAGAAACATTAACCAAGTCTGGGGCGAGGGTTGTGTTAATGAGTGCACTGTGCAAAGGTGGTTTAAAAAATTTCGGGAGGGAGATTTCAGCCTTGAAAATGAAGAAGGTCGTGGAAGGCCTTCCTCTCTTAATGATGATGTTCTGCGATCAGTGGTGGAAGAAAACCCCAAAACAACTGTTCGAGAACTTGCAGAGCAACTCAAAGTCAGTAAAACGACCGTCGCTGACCACCTCAAGGCGATTGGAAAAGTGAAAAAACTCGAAAATTGGGTTCCACACTCATTAAACGATCGCCAAAAAAATCAGCGCTTTGATATTTGTGCATCACTTCTTTGTCGAAACAAAAATGACCCATTTCTGGCCAGAATTGTTACATGTGACGAAAAGTGGATTCTCTACGATAACACTAGACGTTCTGGACAGTGGCTCGACAAAGGAGAAGCTCCAAAGCCCCCAACTCATCAAAAAAAGGTAATGGTTACGGTATGGTGGGCTTCATTTGGTTTAATACACTACAGCTTCTTAAATCCTGGCGAAACCATCAATGCTGAATCATACTGTAACCAAATTAATACCATGCATCAGAAATTGGCAGTAATGAAGCCCTCTTTGGTCAATCGGAAAGGGCCCATTTTGTTGCATGACAACGCTCGACCACATGTGTCACGTGTAACGTCACAAAAATTATTGGAGCTTGGCTATGAAACTTTGCCTCACCCACCCTACTCTCCGGACCTCTCGCCTACTGACTACCATTTTTTTAGACACCTGGACCACTACTTACAACACATAATATTCAAAAATCAAACGGAACTGGAAAATGCATTTATTGACTTTATCAATTCTAAAAATTCTGAATTCTACTCAGACGGAATTAATAAGTTACCAACACGTTGGGAGAAATGTATTGAGAGTATGGGAAATTATTTTGATTAAAGAACATTGCTTTAAAGTAACTAGTTTCTTTTTTTTTGTTTAATACCAAAATCCTGCATTATTTTCCGGACAACCCAATACAATTTGCAGACCCCCAACGTTTCGCTACAATTGACTTATTTTAACTGAAAAACAAACTAGCGAGAATTTAAGTAAATATTGGCCACGATCGATCTGCAAAATGGGTTTTGCTAAAATAAAAACAAATTATTCCAGTGTTCTATTTTATACTATTTCTCCGATATATTAAGTAGATTGGCGATCAATAACTGCTGACAGCGGCTCATCAAACCCGATAGCACTCGGCCGAATTTTAACAACCTTGTTCACACGCAATATGAACATATTCTTCTCGAATTTGTCGATAAAAAAGAAGAGAAAACAAATTTCTTGAACCAAATAAAACTACGGTCAATAACGTTTACTAAATTGTTATAAAAATATTCATATAAAGGAAATTGATTTGTACCATATATTAAAGTTGACAATTTAGCATTTATGATAATCTTCAAAGTATTATTTTGCGAATTATATATTTTAAAATTATACCCGTTTGTCATTTTTACTCAATTTATGACTTAAATGGCAAACAATGAATGAAAATAAGTTTATATTCTGTGTTTAAGATCTTTTCTTTTCCTTTGATTTTCTTTTAAGTACTGAGGATGTTATTTGTTGCCAATTTAGTTTGAATTTGAAAAAAAGAAGGAATACAAATTCTGATTAATTTCTTAAACGAAATAAAACTATGGACAATAACGTTGGCTAAGTTGTTAGACATACATGTGTTTAAGAGCTTTTCTGTACCTTTTTTAAATTTAATTTTATTTACTTTTTTTTTAAATAGAACTGAGGATATTATGTGTTACTACTTTAGTTTAAACTTGAAAATTATAAGAATAAATCTGAGGATGATTTACCTTATTGGAAATTTTTTTTGTTTGTTTTATTTCTCTGTTTTAAGTAGGAAATTTGTATGAAAGAACGTTTAAGTGTTTTGTTTAAAATATTTCTTTTTTTATTTGACTTGAAAACAACGTAGTAAACCCTTTGCTGAGTACAGCAATAATCCATCAAAAGTAATGACAGGCAAAGACAAATACAAACATCTCTTTTCTACCTTTAGAGATAAAAATTTGACATAGGGAGACATACATCGAAATAAGACAGTGAAAAGTTTCGATAAACTTAGATAATTGGCAAATCGAAAAGTATTGCGGGGATTTTCGAAAGGGATACATTGTACATTCTTGAATTCGATAAAAATCGCCCAGGATAAATTAAACAAAAAAATATTCGTCATCCTGGATTCGCTAAATTCCAAGAGTATGTTATAGATTCATGTTTTAAAAAAATGTATAATATTAAAAATATTATAAAGTGCAAGCAAGGTCGAGAAGAAGGAATTCGTGACAAATGATGAATGTTATGACTCCACGTCCTACTTTCTTTCGCGAGTGGAAAATCCCCAAAACGAGTTGCAAAGAACGGCCTTTTACATAGATCTGTCTATCAGATTAGCTTCACCAGCTAAGCTTTTATCGACTATCATGACTAAAACGGAATTTTCCGTCCGCATCCTCAGCAAGATTTCCGGAACGGTTTTGCCCACGTCGGTGAAGTCCGGCAGTTATGTCTCTTTCGACGAATTGTGAACAATGAGAAAAGCAATTGCCAATTAGAGTGAAATTAAAAAAAAGACAATTGCCATTTGTGTTTATCGCTCAATTACAAGGCAGATTGTAACATATTGCTCTTCGCTGAAAAACGCATTAAAACTGTCAATTTTTAATTGCGACCTCCGAACTATAAATAAACAATTTATTGTCAAAGACTTTTAATTGCTCGTGAATTCTATTCTGAGATATGACTACATCCATTTGTAAAAATAAACTGAATCAAAGAACACAAGTTTTATTAATTTAACTCGATTGTTTAAATTAAAAAAAAAAAAAATACACTTTTGTTCAAAGAGAAACACAACCTGCGTAAGAGTTTTCAATGAATTGATAAGATAAATAGATATTACGTTAATGTTTTTTTATTTCAATTTGTAAATGCAAAGCAATTAAAAGATATTTGAATTGTTTTATCATGTTTCACATATGAAATGATAACATCGTGTTTTTTTTTTTTAACAACAAATAATATTTTTGTTTTAGACATGTTTGTACCTTACTGACAAACCTTTTGGGGATTTATCATAGTTCCATGATCAGCTTTGTTGACGATCTCTTTATGTTATTCAACATTGCCAAGGGAAACAGGTCATTTTTTCGTTCATTTTAACGAGGCTGGAACCGGCCAATTGCCAGTATTTTAAAGTGAGGTCATTTTTTTAAGGCTTACAATACGAATTGATCAGCAATTAAATGTATAATTATGTTTTTTCCCCTTGTAAAAGTCTGTAAAAGCGTAGGGCCGAAATGCGACGCAATAAGGGTTGACTGGTTGGCAGGGGGGGTCATGTTTCGATTTTCCACCCTACGACGGAGGGAGGCTAAGATTGCAACAATTTTGAGCATCAGTTCATACATAAAGATAAAGGCATTTGCGAATCGAAAAAAAAGAGAAAAAAAAATCCAACGAGATTCATAAATATCGTGGAATTTCGTCAAAATTCCGGGAAACATCTTGTGGGCAAAGGGTTGTGCAACATCCACCGGATAAATTATTCAATGAACCCTCTTTCCGTTGTGGACTTCGGAAGAGATTGAAAAAAAAGTCGTTAGATTTCCTAATTTGCATTGCGCAATCGGATAGGAATAATGTCATTTTGACTTTCTCTTTTGAGTAAGTCTAGGAGTCTCAAGGAATTCCGTTGCTTTGTGCTTGGGCTGAGAATAACGGTACTCGAGATGGTTTCCGCTTATACTAACACGATTTGAGAGTTAGTTGTTGAAGAGCTAAAATTGTAAAGCCTCGGCACTCGATCAAATTCCAACAATGCCTCGGCTGATCTAATTTTGTTAAGGGTTGCACTTGGTTCCGTTTCAAATGCCGTGACTGTTTCGCACTCCTTTTCCAATTTTGGCACGGGAACAACAGGAAGAGCCGGAAGTAGCCTTCACCACCCTTGAATTTATTCATAAAGAAGGTTAAACCCAGGTCCGGCTCATTTCCAAAGGTCTACAAGGAGAATTCACGATGAAAAAACACAAGGAAAACTAGGGGAAAATTGATTTTAAAAAATTTATCAGCATTATTAAATACCACGATTTCCGTTCAGGTTTTGAGTATGTACGAAGAACGCTTGTCTATCATGATTTTGAGGAAAATTAATTTTAAAAAATCTATCAGCATTATTAAATACCACGATTTCCGTTCAGGTTTTGACTATGTACGAAGAACGCTTATCTATCATGATTACAGCATAATCCAAAAGATTTCCAAGGCATTTGAGAATCGTGCTGAGTGAAGCACTGCAGAATCAGCATAACGTGATAAAAAGTGGGATAAATCAAAAGAAAACATTGAATCATAAACATCGGTCATAAATGACGAAAAATTAATTATGTACTGTTCTCGGTCATATGAATTAAATAGTACTTCATGAATAGTGCTTCTGTTTTAAACTTTGGTTCAATATCTACTATAGGTGATTAAAAAACAGTTGATAATGAGTGTTGGTCTGCCAGTCGGTGAACCCATGATGAATTGGCATAGGGTCACTTATTGGGTCTGTCTTCACTCTCGATAAGTGACCCTACTTAAAGAAGCTACGTGCTAAAGAAAGCAATACAGGATTCGAAAAAAATGAGGAAACACTCTTCTCAAATGATCGATAAGCTGATTAAAGGGAAGAGCGTAAACAATAAAAGCCGGCCGGTATCGCCCTTAGCCATCAAAACACAATATTTAGTTTTTCGTGTCAAAGGACGACCTCTATTTGACACCACGGGGGGGGGGGGATTTTTGAGTGTCAGGGTCGGAAATAATGTGAACAATGGTGGGAGAGACGGGTTCGAGAATCTTTTTGCACGTGACCGTGTTTTGTAAACAAAAACACGTGCTACGGAGCTAAATCACGTGCAGACGGAAATTAAAGCCCCGAGGGGGGCATACCATGTCAGACGGTGGGGGCGAGACTTGTTACGCGCCAATGATACCAGAAGGAAGCAACACAGGTATAAAACGTGTAACTGTTGATACCATTATAATTAAACGGTGGGGTTCCACAAAAAATAAGTCTAGACCGTTCTTTCCGGTTTTACATAGCGGTGCCAAGACCATACTACCTAGACAGTTGCTGACCTCATGACATCATTACAATTTGTCTATTAACAACTTAAATTCGATGAAATTTTTATTAAAAAACGACCAGTTGGTCCAAATAAATGTCAAGTTGACAAGAAAGTTTTATGTAACTTCTTCGGACCATCTTTGAGGAGAAAATTTCATGTGAAAGCCCGATTGCAACAGTTAGATGTCTCCGGATCTGGTTAGAGATGTCAATGTCCTCCTTCACGCCATCGTCGTAATAAAACTTAGGCATCAAATAGAAACAATTCTAATTCAGTGACTCCCCATAAAAATCCAATTACTGATGACTGGTCAATGTCATGGCTAAATGACTGAATTTTTCTTGTTAATCTTCAACGGGTAAAACCCAGACTTAAACCTTCAATTATGCCAATACTGGGAAAAATGTAATTAAAGAGATTTTATGATTTTTGATTAGTTAGCATAGATGTATTCATAGTTCAGGTGTCTTTGTAATCTGTGCAGTTATTCCTTTCGTGGAAAAATCCACCAATGCTATGAGGTTTGCTTTTTGTGTACAATGCTTGCCCACGTGGTACATGTTGGAATTTTTTATGTTACTCGATTCGGCTAGCTGCGAGCGACGTGCATGCTGCTTATGCTAATGGGCAGTAATTTATCCAGTCTGTTAAAAAGCGATCGATTCAAGCATATTACAACAACTCAATATTGGATAAATTAAAGCCCTGGCGAAAAAATGCAATAAACAAAAACCAGATGGGCCTATGTAATACAAAAGGAGAGAACGTGTTGATGATGTCAACACAAAAAAGGGTTAATCTTCCTTTGTAAATAGTTTAAAACGTTATGATTTATGCACGGTTTGGACATATTTGTTTGTAATTTATGGTATGGCTCTCCTCTTGTAAGATGATATGGTTCAGGGTGAATAATGGGCAGCAATAAGACAAAACTATAGATACTTCGTGTCTGTTTTCAAAAGCTATCGTGCAAGGCAAGTGTTTATGCTATTGGATATTAAATATAGAGAAAAAAGGCGGGTTTTTGTTTGTTGTATTTCTTCCCCTTGTTTGAATTTTCAACTAACCGTCGACTCACCGTCTGAAGAGTCCTTGCATTTAAGCGACCTTTTCAACCTGTCTACGAGCCTGTTGTGGAACTTGTTGAGCGAGTTGGTCGAGTTGGACTTGGGAGGCGAGTTGGATGCCGACTTGATGGGCGACTGCAGGCTGCACTGGGAGTTCCTGGAGGATCGGGACTGCCTCGAGACGGAAATCGGGATGGACCTGGCTGGTGACCCTATGAAGTCTGAGCCCGGCGAGGTCGACAACGAGGAAGGACCCTCGGACTTAGAGCACTCTGACACCTTGCGGGATCTGCACGGATTGGAGCACTCGGAGCTGCGCCGTGAGCGAGCAGACTTATAGATATCGTAATCGTTTTTAACCACGGGCATCATAAAGGCCATATTTCAGAATATTTTTTTCTCTTCAAAATGTTTTGCAAAACGACGTCAAATCTGTTTCGTTTCTTTTGAGAGACTGGCTTCCGTACGAGCCGCCCGGGAGTAATAAGCTCCGTTTGCCCCCACCATGATCCTCATCCCTTCCAACTCCTTGCAGTCACCAAGTGGGGTTGGAAGTTTGGAACTATCTCAGGATATACCGCTTACCGCCTCAATTCCATTTTCGGCTTTTGCCAGATTTTTGAACGAACTGAAAGTTTTTCAATTAATAAACACATAATCTTAAATATAGAAAACTTCCTAAGTTCCTATTATCCTATATCAAAACCTTCAAATGAGTACTGTCAACAAATGTTTTACTACCATTGTAATGAAAGCAGCCTCATGTTCTTGTTTTCATTAGCTTTAAACTATGATTACATGAAGAATATTCGTATCACACTTGTGGTAAAAGAGGTAAACAAAATTTACCAACAAAGGACCCAAATTAAGTCTTGAAAAACGTAGAAATAACGAACATACACAGTCTATTGTACTGAGTCTTTCTATTGAATTTGACCTTCAGCTCCTCGTTTTCCTTGGTTGTTTGATTTTAATGTACATTCCAACCAATAATTTATTTTTTGCTATGCATTTTGGGCCTCAAGTGCCTGCCCCTTCATCAGACCTTTTTGGAATTCAATTTTTACCAAAACAAAACTAATTAATGGTTGGAGATGTTCTATTGATTGTTTCTCCTGTACCCAAATGGAATTTGTATTGAACTATTTATCTGAAAACAAAAATTAGTTAGACCTCAAATTTGGCTTATGTTATATAACTCTCATTTCGTTAAAAGTTTGATTTTGCAATCTGAACTTACACATGTAAGTAAGTCTTTAAATTTGGCTTATGATAGACTGGATACTTAATGGATTATAAATTGAAACAAAATTTTGGACTGGGAAGTCTAGTCTTCATACTTACCAAATCCGCATGTTTTGCTTTAGACCTTTAGTATCATTGAAAATGTGTAAAAATTCGATTGATTCGAGGCAAACAGTAAACATTGGTGGAAATTTATTGAAACCTGACCTCATATTTGGCTTATCTTAGATAACCATTTGCATATCTCACATTTGGTTAAAAATTGTATTTTTCAAACCAAACCTTCAGACAATAGACATTTATAAACAGTCGACTTAACAAAACTGATTGACCAAAATAAAAACAAAATTTTGAATTGGAACCTATTGTGAACTGTAATCACAAGACCACTGATCTTATTTGGTCGACTCTTTTTCATTTTATATTTTAAATAGCAAGATGAATAATTATAATACAGACAACCAACAAAAATATGCAGACTAGTTAAATGCCCATACAATACTAACGACTTTTTTTTTTAAATTTCATCCTCTAAATAAATAGAATTTGTTTTGAACTAAACAACAGCACAACAAAAAGTTAGACACTTAGACCTCATATTTGACTTATATTAGATATATCATTTGAATAAAAACTTGAATTTACAAATCAAATCTTCAAACATTCATAATGGAATTGATGAACCTGATCGACCAAAGTAAAAGGAGAATTGGACCCTATTGTCACAAATGGCTGTCACAATTCCACACAGTGTTAATCTCATTTGGTCAACCTGTTTTCTTTATAGACTTGAAATAGCCAGAGGGATAATTATAATACAGACAACCAGCGAACATATGTGGACTTAATGACCAGAGTACTATCATTGTTTCATCCTAAACTGGGGATTTAAACTACTGCAAACATACTGGTAGCTATATTTCAAATTTTGGCTTATCTTAGATAACCATTTGTGTATATCACATTTAGTTAAAAATACACACATTTATTGATTAACCCTTTATCGTTCTAGACTTGAAATAGATTTCTGTACGTTTCTAACATTGCAATACAGACAAACATAGATGTAATATACTTGCTCTTTGAGAGCTATTGCATCCCCTTTCTATACCTACAGCACAACAGTTAGGCCTAGTTCATCAAGGAATTTGATTAGTTGGTTGAATTTCTTCTATGGTTATGTTGAACATCTTAAAGCACTTTCTCCTGCAGGCAAGTGTAGCACCACAGTTTGTTAGTAGGTGTGTTAAAATTTGAAGTTTTTTCCTGCTTCTTTTGATGCCTTATGTTGTTGTTTTTTTCTTCCGAAAGTTGTTAGGAGGTTTTTGGATTTTCGGTGCTCAATGAGTAAATTCCACTGTTTCCTTTTTTATTTTATTTTTTAAGTTGAGTGATAGTGTGAATCCCTACACCACAAAAGGATTCAGGACCTATCAGCCAGGTAGGTGAACTGAGTACTTTTCTCAATTTAGTAGGCTTCATCCTGAAAGATTCTAGTGTACTTTTCTATGGGTTCTGAATATTTTGTACCAGGGTTGAACACTCATGCCCCTGTACATTCTAGTCTTGAAGACTATCAGACCAATGAAATTTTAGAAAGTTTAAACAAAATCTTCATTATGTTTAAACTTTTTCTTTGTTTCTTTCTTTAAAGGGATTTTGTTTTATAATCTTTATAAGTGTATAAAAATTTTTTAAAATGATTATTTGGAGATCGTGAGATGCGAGCTTGGGTGATTTAGGTTTAGAAAAACATTTTCTTTATTGTGCCAAAGTTTCAATCTTTATGGAGATCATATTCAGGGCTTAAAGTGTGTTTTCAGAGTAGATGTGCCACGGTTGTGAGTGTCGTATTGAACTATGCTGCTGCAAAAAGCCTGGCTGCTATATCTCAAATTTTGGCTTATATTAGATAATCATTTGTGTATATCACATTTAGTTAAAAATACATCCATTTATTGATTAATCCTTTATCATTCTAGACTTTAAATAGCTTTTTGTACGTGTCTAACATATAGCCAATGTAATTAAAATATAGACAAAGATAGATGTAGATGTAATATTCAGGATGTGTAATATACTTGCTCTTTGAATGTTTTTCTTTAATGCTCATGTTCATAATTCATAATTATCTAAAGATCCTTTTACGGATAAACAAACTTGATAATATAACAAGAACAAAACTACAGCAAACATTATTAATAATAAACAATAAACTATATTTATATATAATAATATATAATATTTTATAGAATAGAAGAATTATATTGTATATAATACAACTATATTTCAAATCAATCTATAAAATTATTGGCTTTAATTTATGTTTAACTGTATTAAAATTTAGATGAAAAAAATCGATATTTATATCTTATTTCCTTCTCTCATTATTCTATTTATTGACAAATAAAATATGTAATTTATTTTACAAAAGGGTACACTAAACATAAATGAATGCCTCGAAGCATGTATTGGGACATTGAAAATGTACAGTACACTTTAGTCGTCCATGGATTATATTGTAAAGAAATAATAGATAGTTAATTATTAGTTAATAGTTAATTATTATTTATTATTACTATAGATGGTTAATATTAGATCAAAAATGTGCCTTCTGTCAGCTTGTGCTGGAAGATTATAGAGAAAAAAGATAGTTCTGAAGATGAAAGAAAGGTAATAGAAAATGAAGGATTCTAATAAATTTATTTTGAACTTTATCTAAAAATTCAGAATGAGAAAAAAAGTGTGGATTCCATACAACAGTAGACAATTTAAAGATGGGACGAATGAGAGTTTTTTACAATTTCAATTATGAATTTAGATTATGAATGAATGAGTATTTCTTATAACAAAACCCAGAATTTTAAGAGCTTTTTTTAAAACATTGATAATATGCTCTTTAAATTCCTACTTGCTATCAAACAAGGTAGCCAAGTCTTTGTCACAGGATACTCTAAGTGTTTTATTGCTTATTCGGTGCATCGAATGGGATAAAAGGGTTAAACAGAAATTTTATTTAATTGTTTTATTTGAAGTTTTTAGCCGAAGTTGGCTGTTTTAATTGTTTTTTAGTTCTCGTTAACTTTTCGAGCAGAGGTGCGCCTAGTTTGACGACATGTCAATACCAGACTAACATAACCTGCTAGGCTGCAACCTCTGGGTCATCCATACTGTGTTATTCGTCCTCAACCTAGACAGTTAAAAAGAAACAATAATAATTCCTGTTTACCAGATTTACATCGGTATCGGACCTATCCTTATCTTTCTCGAGATTAATTCCGGTATTCGATCCCATCGAAATTACTCTCTTGCACGCCTTGACGTGAAAACACACTGAGAAGGACTCTGACAAAAGGTAATCTTTTGAAAATCCCTTGTTTTTTCGAATTAGACAGTCGAGGGTTTGGGTTTTTTTCACGTCGATTTGGCTTTTTGGTGGGTTCAAATCGAATGACATGCCACGAATGTGGATTTGCAGAGAAACAGCTCATTTTCCATCCTATGATCTATAACAATTGATTTATGTTTTCTTGTTTCTAAAAATATACAAGGCCCACGCGTGGCTGGAATGTTATTTATTTCTCTTTTTAATTTATTTTCTACTAGCATATTTAATCAATTTCAACATTAAATTAAAGTTTGACATTGACAAAAAAATGTATTTACATTTGTTGACACTTGTTGCTAATATGGCGAACTCTAGCTTTGCTAAGCTGATTTTTCAATTTTAAATTATCCTCAATTTTATTATCAATATTTAAACCATTTCTGCCATTTATGTATTTAAAATCAATTAAAAACAATATACTCTAAAACAATTCTTTTTATCCTCCTATGAAACAAAAAAAATTCCGAACTACTTCGTTACATAATTCTATGTTTACTATACACAGACTTACTTGAAAATATTATTCAAATTAACATTTGAATAATTTGACGGTTTAAAATTAAAAATTATAACTTGTTCAAAGAATTTCTAAATATGTCAAACTATTATGAACACCTGTTCCACTTCTGGCCCTTCTGGTTTTTGTTTTGTCATATACATGTTTCTTCTTGATCCCAGCATATTGTTGTGTAAAATAAGTTCATTTTTTTTGTTGAAAAAATATGATAATATTAAATTTTTCCTGACAATTCAGTTAAATTATTTAACCTTGCAATTAATCAATCATCACTGTTCATCCACTTGTAAATATACTAAAAAAATAATAGTTTGATCTGTCACATATTTGGTTCTTTGTGATTATCCCAGTCTGCCTATACTTGTGGTCTTCCATCAAATATCAAAATGAGGTGAGGATATAGTGAGAAGTATGATTTAAATTCGATCCCATCGAAATTACTCTCTTGCACGCCTTGAAAACAGAAGTCTCTCTTGTTGTGAAAAACAAGAAATCTGACAGACCAAAACAGCATAAGTGAACCAAACTATTAAAAGAATTGTCAGAAATCAATCTTCTTGTTGCAGATTGACTGCATGTTCTCGAATAGAATGTTTTAATGGCTTTCAATTCGAGCGCCAGTGGATTGGGCCGAAAAGGGTCGCAGTGGATGAACTACAACTACCCCGTTTCGCCGGCCATCCTGGAATCGATAGACAGCCTTTCGCTGTCCAACAATCGCAATTACCAAGTGAAGGAGAATGAGGTCAAACGCCATGGTCCTTCTCTTCCTGACATCACACACACATCGGAATTTACATCGCTTGAACTTAGTTTGGATGATCAGAATGGAAATGTGGTCAAAGCTTTCCAGCTCCTTGATTCAAAAGAGTGCATTAAGGTAATTTACCTTTACTTTCTTGCTTCATAAGCCTTATTTACTGATTATCCAGCATCCAGTAACAATTGCTATCTTAAATTCAATGTATTTTAATTTTATGCAATTCGACTATAAAATTTTAATCGGATGGTTTCCAGGACCTTCTGTTAGATATTTCATTCCTAAAGCTTGCATCTGGTTGTTTCATTTTTAAGTATGTGCACTAGAATCAGAATTTTGGGCCAGAGTGGATATAAATATTGATTTGAGGTAGCCAGTGTTTCTGTTTAAAATTTTTTTAATATTGATCATTTGGTAAATTGATGTGTTAATGGCATTCATGATATTTCAGGTTTATTTCCTTTTAATCTCTTATCTCAAATCTAACCCTTATTCCAAAATGGACCTTCAGGTTACATCAACAATACACAAAACTTGATCAGAAAGCACTTTGTGATTGTGTCTTTTCCATGCTTCATGACTCTATCTCAGTACCTCTTCTTCCTAAGTTGAACACCTCCCTTGTTCCACCCTGGCAATTTCTCAAACCTAAACTTTCTCTACATTTAACCAAGTTTCTAAAATAAAATTGAATTTAAGTAAATTCCTCATATTACATTCATCTATTAAATAAGTGTTTATGTTCACTCAATTAATATACACAATTTTTTCTAAATGAAAAATTTGTGTCACAGGTGGGATTCGAACCCTTGACTTTCAGCTTTTCATTTTCATTTAGAAAAAATTGTGTACAATTAATTGAGTATTTATAGAATTAAGTAGGAGCTGATAAAATAATTAAAAATTTAGTGTTTATGTTCAGTTCAATTGGTGTGGGAGCTGCATTTATAAGCTACTACAGAATGTACATGTTTGCATTTCCAGTAATAAGCAGCACCACTGAATTCATTGCAATTAATAAAAGTCTAAATATTTTCCCTATCACTTGTATGCACGAATTCTTTGGCTGCACAGTACCAATTATCCTTTAATCCTGCAATCCAGGAAATTCTTCTATCCTTAGAGGAACAAAGAGCAAAGAATAGAAATGATGAACGGTGGAGTGAGTGCAGTGTTCAATCCTTTTAAAAAGATAGTTCCTACTCACAGTAAGTTGTTTTCAACAATCCACTGATGATGAACTAAAAGCTCGAAATCCGAATTGTTGAAAACAACACACTGTGAGAAGGAACTATCTTTGTAAAATTAGCAAAGAATGTCTCAGCCCTATTCATGTGAATTTGGGCAGCCAAATTAGCCATCATGGAAAGCATAGGCGACGACTTTCTGGGGAAGACTTCCTTTCAAATGTCAAAAATAAGATCTGGGAAAACTTGCTTAACTGAAATTAAGAGAGAGGTTAAACAATGGCCCTTCACTTATAGAACAACTTGTAAGGAGGAAGCGGTCCTGGCACTCCTAAGAATAGGACGTTTTAAGCTTACCCATGTATACCTCATGGTCAACCTTCCTTTTTGGCAAAGTTGTCAAGAACTACTACAGTCAAACACATCGTAGCTGAATGTTTTTTGTTTGAGATATGAAGTAATAATGCGGTATATCTGGTAGTTCAGGTGAAAGTATTGCCTGATGATAGGGACCGACTAAAGAACCTAATTTTCTAAATATGACGGGTCTCTGATCTAAAATTTAGAAGACTAGATAAATAGTAGTATTCTGACAAACTCTTACCTTGCCGAATTGTTTATTTTTTGTTTGAAATAAATGTTTTTTTTTTCATATAAATTTGCAATGCAATAAACTTATTATTAAAATAGTTATGCTTCCTTTTGCTGTGCGTACAGTGGTTGCATGCCTTTACGTACTTATTTAAAAAAATATATATAACGTGTTTTCGTAAAAATACCATTTTGCAACTCATAACTACTCAGCATTAAATTATATATGTTGTTATAATAAAATCAAAATCATTAGCTTGAAGTAAGATATTTCATAACTTTTGTTAATCGTTTCTATTGGTTTATTTAGATAAATTTTCTATTTTTAAACATATGCTTTATGAGGTGATAATGAATGAATCATTGGTCTTACAGATAATTATATCTATAATTTGTAAATTTTTTATTTTATTAACTATTTATTTTTGTTTCAGTTATTAAGCACAATTACATTCATAGTTCATATTTCACAATGTTTCATAACGTAGTGAAAGAATAATTGGCATAATTCTAATCATACATGTCTTAAAGAGTAGTAGTTTAACCTGTTCCAGACTTACAAGTACATAAACTAAGTCATTTATAATTTTATTAATTGCCTTAATAGTATTAAGTATTCCAAAACATATTCTCCTCATTTTAGCTTTACAGCCTGTTAGTAAATGTGACAGGGTTTTTTCTGCTCATTAGCATCCTCTATGATTACTGCGTCAGATGCATTCAACCAAGTAACCAGTTATATATATGCATTTTGTGCACATTATGAAATCCTGAAAAGGAGATTCTTACCCTGTTTCCAATGCAAGATAAATGTACAGGCTAGTTTCAGACGAGGGGTTTAATTGATTAAATCGTTGCTTGGTTGACTCTCAATGACTCAGCTGCCATGTGAAGGCTTTTCTTGGCTGGTTTCACACCATCCAACTTGTAAAATAGAATCAACTTCTCATGTCAGTGAGAGTTCAGTACAATGCAGCTCCTGATTTTTGGTAAGAGTGTGGACCCATTGGAACAATATTCAAACTTTTATTTACTATTTTTGGAAGTTTTATTTGAACTATAATATCTTACTTATCATCCTTTGGAGTTTTGTGTGTCGGATGCTCTCTATTGAGTTCCTTCCTTTTATTTATTATCTGATTTTATAAATTATTTTCTTAGCATCCCTTATCAGAAATGTCCAAGCATTTTTTAAAAATGTTCAATGTATTTTAGCGAGTTCTTTTTGTTTAGTCAGTCTCATGGTGTTTTAGGTTGGAACTGCAGAAGAATTTTGTGTATTACTCGGCTTGAAACCAATGAACCCCAATGGCTACCAGAGGGTCAAAGTGGTGACAATAATCGGAAACACGGGAGACGGCAAATCACACACGATGAACCACATATTTTTCAATGGAGAAGAGGTGTTCAAGACATCGCCAGAACAGTCAAGCTGCACAATAGGCATCTACGCAGCTTACTCGTCTGAGTTTGGCGTCATCTGTTTAGACACGGAGGGGCTGATGGGGTCCATAAAAGCCGTCGATGCGCAGTATAGAACCCGCCTCCTGGTCAAAGTCCTCGCCGTTTCTGACATTGTCATCTATCGCACAAGAAGTGACAGGCTTCACGACAACATGTACAAGTTTCTGTCCTCTGCGTCTCATGACTACACAAACCATCTTCAGTCGTGTCTGGAGATGATTTGCAAAAAAAATGAATTAGGTGGTACCATATCATCCCTTGGGCCGTCCATACTCATCTTCCATGAAACCCGGCATACAAAGCCTCTTACTTTGCGTATGTATTAATAGTTTAATTAGTATGTATTGTGTTAATAGTTTAACTAGAAATATAATTAACTAGGTTCAAAATTTATGTGTGCTTTTTTTTCTTCAAATTGGTATTTATTTATATTTTCAGGAGGAGGTCGCACTCCTGAAGATACCCTGAGGAAAAACTTTAAGGAAATGGGCCTTTCTTTCGATGCATTTTCCTCACTGTGCTACATAGGGCAGCAAACGCAGACGAGCACGGACTATTCCGAAGTGCTCAATTACATGAAGACCGAGCTGGCTAATACAACAGTCAGGTCGCCACGCAACCCCAAACTGGTTTACAACATCCTCAGGACCCTGAACGACAGATTTAGCGGGAAGATAAACACGAGGGGCGAGGTGTTGCCGGACGAGTACTTCACATGCCCCTCTTCGTGCCTTTCGTGTGATAAAAGGTGCCAACTATCTATGGGCCATATTTCCAATGGGCAGCAACATTTCACCAAAAAAAAGTGCAGGTAGTTTTAACACTTCTAAAGGAAAAAAGATAAAAATTAATATTGCATTAAAAAAAGAAAAAAAAAGGTTATATAATTATGCTTATCTGTTTACAAAGGGTAAACAAGCAAACAATGCAAATACTTTTTTTCAAATCTTTTGTTTACTCTTTTTTATAAGTAAGTTTATCAACTGAGCCTTTTTTTAATTTAATTGGCTAAGATTGTCATCTTTCTTTATGTATGTATTGTCATTGAGATCATTACGACAACCATACCACATATGCACGTTTTCTTGAAAATTGGCTCTGTTTGAATTTAATTATATTGTCTAATTATAAATTGTTTAGTTTGCCTAGTGAGATTTGATAAAATGTCAGAGGAAAGTGAACTCACATTCATCATTTCATTATCGTTAGGATTTTGTTAATCAATGTTAGAGTTATGCAATATGTTATAACTTATAAGATAGTCAAGGTATCTCAAGGGCAGTGCAAACCCTGTTATGATACAAATTCACCCAGTGGGTTGCTTGGGGCGCCCAAGGGGGTGAGAGGAAAAAGATTAAAAGATAAATGCTATTGAAATTGTAAATAAAAAAAATTCACTAATTTCGTGGTCCACTTGACCAATTAATATATTATAATTAATTATGGTTTTTAGTTGAGATAAAAAAGTCAATGGCATGAGCGGGATTCGAACCCACGATCTTCGGCTTGATACGCCGCTGCTCTACCACTTGAGCTAGCGTGACCTCGATCCACTCGGACACCAACTTCCCATCTCAACTGCACCTTTTGAATTTTCCCTCCTTTTTGCCATTTTGTAGTTTGTAGTTAATAAAATAATAATGGGGGGGGGGGTAATAGAACCTCTATTGGTACTCAGCCTCAATTCAGCATTCATATTTCGCCTTACTAAGCAATAGCTTGTTATCTGGGCTATCCTTACGTTTTTGTCATTACCATGCTTTTGGTCAGCCTTAATGCAAAAGGAGAGGAAAACAAAACTGGTGACTAGCTCACTCAGATCCCCCAATAATTTTTGAGAGGTCCTATTACCTTCAAGATTAAAGGAAATAGTAGTTAACTAAATTAAAACATTTATTACTCTATATTCCACCATCAGTCTTATGCTATGCATAAATCGCACACTCGCAATAATTTAAATATTTAAAATGTATTACAAACAAATATATACATCATATAACACAATTTATAAACTTTAAACTTTATTAACTATTTAAACTTTATTTACAAATAAATGCACACACATACATATACACACAGTATAAACAATATTTATAACAGGGGGCCCAACATTTGCTCGACCTCCCAAGTACCATCTTTATACCAGAGCTCATGCCTATTCGCTCCCTTTAAGGTGCCAAGGCATGGCACTTTTAAATCAAATGACACTGAGCCACCTTTGTCTACATATGAGACACTGCGCCGGTTTTGCCCCAAAAGCTAGTGTAAGTGTGCCATGGCCTATCCTCAGTTGGGTTAACATGATCCTTTCCTTTTCACTTCAAATTCTCAGGGTGTCATTGTTCAGTAGTTCTCTTAACTCATAGAAGCTTCTCAGACGACCTATTGATGCTGCCAACGCTCGCACAGCGAGACTAGTGGCTCGGTCTAGAGGGTGAGATGTCCCAGATATTTCGCTGCCTCGTCTGCACATTAGTTGCCCTCCAGCCCGACATTTCCAGACGACTACTACCGTTTTTCCCAGGTGCTCCAGCTCAGTACATCTCCCTGAAAAGAACCTGATGAGGGGATCCACAGAGAATCTGTCCTGGATTGCCGATACTGTGCTCAAGGAGTCTGTACAGACGAGGAAGACAGAGCCTTCATCATCTCGAATCACCCCAAGCATTTGCCACATCGCATAAAGTTCTGCCGTGTACATTACACCTTCGCTGGTCTTAGGACCCGTCTGTGAAGACGAGGCAAAGCGAAAACCAGTGAATTCCAATATGAGTTCCTAAGAACGCAGACCAGTAAAGGTGCAGTGATATACACGACTTGGCTAATAACCATGAGATCGTCCTGAACGAGTTCGGCTGGAAGGACCCAGGGCATGTCGGTTTGTTTCCAACCCTGAATACTATCCCAGAGTCAAACTCGCCCTCCAAAGGGCTTCACCAAAATAAATTCCTAGGGGTCACATCTGCGTCTGAAATTGCTAATATACCTGGGTTATATTTGTTCTTCAGGATCATGTCAGTAGGGGTTTGCCTGACTTGGTCAAGAAACCTCATAGCTGAGGGATAGAACGCTTGTAGACGTCTTTTTGTTTGTTTGTTTTCCCCATCATACAATGGACCATGTTTTATACTGGGCTCCCAGTGTTGTATAGGCTATAAGTATCCATGGACCAGATATTGGTCGGGCCACTATTCACTGCCGGGTACTTGTCCGGCCCCCTCAGTGCGTCCGACACTGAACCTGCATAAGAAAGTGCGGTCAGCCATGCCAGTGCATTGATGTGTGTAGATGTTAGCAGATGTATTGCCCATTTAATGTAAACTGCTTGCTGTCCCTTTTTTTTTTTTTTTTTTTTTTTTTTTTTTTTTTTTTTTTTTTTTTTTAATTATATGTATCATCATCAATAAAGTTGAAGTGGTTTTTTCTACAAAGTAATTGTAAGAAATTTTATTTTATCGTCTTCCAATTTCTCAAAAAGAGAATGAAATCCACCACATTAATCCCTTTCTAATAATATAGGATGTATCTACAATGACCTTTTTCATTTTTCTGTTTCTTATTGTTTGACATTATACAAACGTGTTATCTCCTTGGCTACCAGGTCAAAACTGAGCCAGGGAGAGACAGTACTCGCAGTGACCGTCTATCTATGCTCTAAGTTGCTCTCTCCAGAACTCACAGCCCAGGCTGGTCCTAAACGCACCCAATTCAACGTGAAGGCCTTGGTAATAGAGCCTTCAAGCCTCAAGAGGTGCATTTTACGAGCCAAGGAATAGGCCATACAACCCTAAAACAGCCTCAAGCAGACTTCTGTTCCCCCCATATATTTTTTTGATATTGGGATCATTTTGGGGAAAAAACCTTTAGTCTTTGTCTAGTTTCTCATGAGCCAAAAAATTTTGATCTAACTCTCCAGAATAACATAATATGGATAGGAACTTACTATCTCAAATAACATACATTTTTTTAAAGATTATTTATTGTTTATTTACAGATATCAACATCAATATGAGAATATATTTTATGTCTGCAAGATTTGCTACAGCAATGGAAAGGAGGTGAGAGTGACACCTAAATACAGCACAACTAACGATGGTTCATGGTTTGAAGTAATTACAAAATACGCCTGGTCCGGGTAAGAGAAATCGATACAGAACAGTAGTAAGGATATATTTAAAATTTCTTTCCTTACTCATTTAGCTATGTCATCGAGTGTCCAAACTGTGGAGAGATTTATCGTAGCCGACAATACTGGTATGGAAACACACCACCGGAGGATACGGCCGTTCGTACTGAAATACACCACATTTGGCCAGGGGTAAATTGTAAACTTTTTGTTTCCAATTTAACAGTGTTTTGAGAATTTTTTCACTTTCAGATGTTGAGCAATGCTAACAATCAAAATTCGGCACAGCGTGTAATCGATGGAGTTGCGTATTTTACAGAAGCTGTTGTCAGTGCTTCAGCCACGCCAACAAAAGCCTTGAGCTCGTGGGTTTCAGACCAAGTCGCACCGAAATACTGGAAACCAAATGTTGAAATAAGTGTAAGTTATATTTTACTAAATATTTACAGACCAAAACATATTTATAGACCATAACAGCAGTTCAAAAAACAGTAAAACCTCCATTATTTATTTTGCCCGAGGGGATCGAAGTCACGACAGCTCAAGTGGTAGCAGCGTATCAAGCTGAAGGTTGTGGGTTCGAATCCCGCTCGTGACACTGACTTTTTTATCTCAACTTAAAACCTTGATTAATAGTATGAAATTAAAGCAAGGTTTTTTTAAAAATTATTATTATTTTGGCATCAAACAATTATACAGCCATGTTACAAAGAATATATACAATTTAAACAGTTCATATTATATTTTCACAGACACAACTTTTAAAAATTTTATTATCAAATTATACACTCTGGGATTCTTGAATAGAGCTCTACTTTCAGTAATTGGGTGTTCTACTCCTTCTTTCTCCAGATCCTGGTAGAATTTATTTCTGGCTGACGAATGTTGGCTGCAGTGAAACATTATGTGCGTTAGGTCCTCCTTTACTCCGCATGTGTCACAATTTGGGTGTTGTTTTGTGCCAATCTTGTGAAGATATGCTGCGCAGATGCCATGGTTTGTTCTTAACCGATGTATGGTGGTTATGTCTTTTTTTGCCATGTCTAGTTTGTTAAACCACGGTATTGTTTTCACAAGTGGAAATAATATTTTGTAAGCCATTCCCTTATCCGAGGCAGAGTATTCAGTTTGCCATTCTATTTGAATTCTTGTTTCCAACATTTGAAAAAGGTCTGTATAAGGAATCCTTATGATTCTAGGGGTGAGTAACTGTGTGGCATTTTTTGCAAGTTTGTCGGCTTTTTCGTTGCCGTAGATGCCCATATGTCCTTTAATCCACACGAAAGAGACCTTTTTTTAAAGTGGAAAAGTTGTTGACTGTCTTTTTTATGTCAGCTACAATATAATTCTTAATGTTAGTAAATGTGGTTTTGCAAGCACTGGATTGCACTGAGGTTGGCTGAGCAAATTATAATGTGATTTGTTGTAGGAAGGTTGAGTGTAAGGAAAGTTATCGCTGCCTTAATTGGTAATAATTCCGCCGAATAAATTGATATCTCTGCCGGCAGAGGAATTGATTCCCCTTTATTGATGCTAGGGCAGAACCAGTAGCATCCAACCTTCCCAGACTTGAGGGATCCGTCGGTATAAACAGTTAGGTGGTCCTTAGGGAAAAGTTCCTGAAGATCAGCAAGCCTTGTTGATTAACCGCTACGGGATTTTGTCCAGAGTAGTCTTTTAGTACATAGCAATTAAGGGGGTTTCTAATTGTTTTTAGCTCTGTAGAGAAAATTGGAGGGGTTCTCTTTGTTCAATTTTTTCTTGATATTTTGCCAGAGAGGTAAAACTCGTGGTAATTGGTGGAAATTTTTTCTTTGGCCAATATTTTTTTGTTAGATTCATTATGGACAAATCGCAGATGTGCTGAGCAAGAGATGTTTTTTTCACCATTTGGCGCAACATAAACCGTCTCTTCTGTGTGACAGTGGCTGATCGTTACATTCAGCTTTGATGACATCATTGGGGATGCTCTTAAGAGACCCCAAACAAGTTTTGAGAGATTTGTGCTGTATGATGTCCAATTTCTTTAATTTTGATCCAGAAGCTTGTCCGTAATAAATTGATCCAAAGTCAATTATAGATCTAATTGTTGCTTTATAGTAGAGTAAGCTGACTGTAGGGTTAGCATATCCTGAAATACATTTCAGTGGATTATAAAATTTCTCTGCTTTGGTCTCAATGCAGCAATATGACCATTCCATGATAACTTATGATCCAATTTTAATCCGAGAAATTTGACTTCATTAACCACCGGAAATGATTTTTCACCCAGGGTCAAAGTATCAGGAAGAGTAGATTTCGTAGATCTTGTAAAATAACATATTTTTTATTTTTCTTCAGAAATATTTAATCCGTTGGTGTACGTCCAATACAATAATTTTCTCACCGCCGAATCCATGGCCTCTATTGCCGCTTCTGCTGATTTGTGAGTTGAGTAGACGCATATGTCATCCTCCAGTTGAATAATTTTAATATTTTTTTTATTACATTTTCTACAACTGCAACATATAGCAAATACAGCAGTGGGCTTAGTATCCCTCCTTGGGGCAATCCAACTAGCTTTCCTTGGTCCAAGAGTGATGTCATTTATTTGGACATATATGTTCCTCTCTGAGACGAGAGTGATTGTGTTTTTAATAAATTTGATAGGTAAACCCATCTTTTGCATTTTTTTTGCTAGAATGAACAGATTGACGGAATCAAAGGCAGCTGATTTGTCCAGAAACAATGCTAGAGTGCTTTGGTTATTCGTGAAACCTAGTTGTATGTCTGTGACTAGTATTCCATGGGTATCTGTGATTGAGCCATCATACTGGGTTCCGGACTCTGAAGCAAGGGACATCTTTTGCATTTTTTTTGCTAGAATGAACAGATTGACGGAATCAAAGGCAGCTGATTTGTCCAGAAACAATGCTAGAGTGCTTTGGTTATTCGTGAAACCTAGTTGTATGTCTGTGACTAGTATTCCATGGGTATCTGTGATTGAGCGTTCTTTTCTAAAGTCCATTTGTGAGTCGGGCAGTTTTTTATTGCTTTCCAGCCACCATTCTAGTCGTGCCTTTACCATTCTTTCAAATGTCTTAAGCAGACAGGAAGTAAGAGATATAGGGCGGTATGAGTTGAAGTCTGATTGAGGCTTTCTAGGTTTCAACAAGGTTATATTGGGTTGTCCGGAAAATAATGCAGGATTTTGGTATTAAACAAAAAAAAAGAAACTAGTTACTTTAAAGCAATGTTCTTTAATCAAAAATGGTAGTCAGTAGGCGAGAGGTCCGGAGAGTAGGGTGGGTGAGGCAAAGTTTCATAGCCAAGCTCCAATAATTTTTGTGACGTTACACGTGACACATGTGGTCGAGCGTTGTCATGCAACAAAATGGGCCCTTTCCGATTGACCAAAGAGGGCTTCATTACTGCCAATTTCTGATGCATGGTATTAATTTGGTTACAGTATGATTCAGCATTGATGGTTTCGCCAGGATTTAAGAAGCTGTAGTGTATTCAACCAAATGAAGCCCACCATACCGTAACCATTACCTTTTTTTGATGAGTTGGGGGCTTTGGAAAATGTATTGGAGCTTCTCCTTTGTCGAGCCACTGTCCAGAACGTCTAGTGTTATCGTAGAGAATCCACTTTTCGTCACATGTAACAATTCTGGCCAGAAATGGGTCATTTTTGTTTCGACAAAGAAGTGATGCACAAACATCAAAGCGCTGATTTTTTTGGCGATCGTTTAATGAGTGTGGAACCCAATTTTCGAGTTTTTTCACTTTTCCAATCGCCTTGAGGTGGTCAGCGACGGTCGTTTTACTGACTTTGAGTTGCTCTGCACCCACCACTGATCGCAGAACATCATCATTAAGAGAGGAAGGCCTTCCACGACCTTCTTCATCTTCAAGGCTGAAATCTCCCTCCCGAAATTTTTTAAACCACCTTTGCACAGTGCACTCATTAACACAACCCTCGCCCCAGACTTGGTTAATGTTTCTAGCCGTTTGGGCTCCGCTTCGGCCGAGTTTAAACTCGTAAAAGAAAATCGTACGAAATTCTCGCTTTGACATTATAAGGATGACTGAATTATTTCCAAGTAGCGGAATGCTACAGAGGTAAACAAACAATATCATTTGGAAGAGGATTAATAAGTGTTGACATTCATACAAATGAGTAATCCTGTAAACGTAAACAGAATATTTTATATAGATTTTTTTTAATGAAAACTTAAAATCCTGCATTATTTTCCGGACAACCCAATAACATTATTCGCTACATGCTAGCACACCATCAAAAATGGTTAAACATAATAGTAAAACTACTTCTAATAGAAAACAAACAGAGGGGAAAAGTCTTAATGGTAAAGGGACAAAAAATCGGATATAATAAAGTCATATGTTATATAAAGGAAATTGAGTGAATGAATTGGAGTGGTCAGAAATTAAATTCCATAATTAGGTCTAATCTATATTTCCAGGCGTGGCAGACGTTACTGCGTGAGCGTCCATCCAACAGATTTAACAGAGAAAACCAACATTATCCGTGGTTTGATTTTCCGTAAATCCAATTATCTGGGTACTGGGTCTCTGTAGTATACTATGTATGCAAGTATACATTTCGCGTAGCAACAAATCACTTCTGATTCAAAGAAACAGTCTTGCTCCTACAAAACTCCCATGTTCTAGAAAGATACACTCATCCTTCCCCATTTACAGGACGTTGTTCAGAAACAATGCACCTCTTCTAGAAAACCCCTGCTTTCAAAGCTTGTTGTTGTCGAGTTAAGTGTATTTTTGTAATCACAGGCCTTTAGTATTGGTTTGTCAATGTTGGTATGAAAACTTTTTCAGAAATTTTTAATGATTTTTTGTTAAATTTTTTAAAATTAAATTTGTTCCTGTTACATACATATTAATAAAAGTAATATATGTGCATGTGTTCTTAATTAATCTTTTAATTAACACATAAAAAAAATAAATTCCATTATCCGGGCTTTTCGATTTTCTGTGGGCCTCTCACCATCATTATCCCCTATAATGGAGGTTTTACTGTAATATTAAGAAATGATTAGGCTATGGATAAATATTTCATTATTAATTACGTGTTTTAAGCTTTTTTTTTTTTTTTTTTAGAAATGCAACGTATGTGGACACAGTTTTACAATGGACATGAAAATCCATCACTGCCGAGTGTGTGGAGAGGGAGTATGTGCAACCTGCTCTAGTCGAAAAAAGTCTGTTCCCGAGAAAGGTTGGGAATATCCCGTGAGAGTTTGTGACTTCTGTTTCGCCCCATCTCAGGAATCGCAAGCGTCACTGTCAAGCGACAGCGAAGTGATGCCACGTAAAGTCACAGAAGCAGTTGTCACAACATTCTCAACACTTGGATCACTTCTGAACTATCCCAAAAGTATGATAAATTATATAGACCCTTATATAATTGTAAATTAATCTTTTTTTGTTTGTTTGAAAGGCATGATTAAAGAAACTGCAAGACCATCATACTGGGTTCCGGACTCTGAAGCAAGGGATTGCTGCGTGTGTCAAGCACCGTTCCAATCATGCGGCGGCACTGCTGCACTTCACCACTGCCGTTCATGTGGTGGTGCTGTCTGTGGCGGCTGCTCAACAGGGCGTAAGTCTGTTCCTCACCGGGGATGGGATACGGCTGTCAGAGTCTGTGATAATTGTTTTAAGTGCTAATTTCCTCCTTATGCTGTTATATTTCAATGACAAAATATGTTTAAGGGGAGGTTGTGGGTTTGAAAATATCCTGTTTTCTTGTTCTTTCATAATCGTCTGGTGTAGATCTCTTTTAAATAAAGAGTATTCATTAACTGCTTGAAATTTTAACATCTCATTAATAATTAAAATTTCAGGTTTAAATGTGTTGAATTTACAATATTTAATTTTGCATAATTGAAATGAAAGATGAACTCTTTGGTTTCTCGTGCTGACTCACCAACCAAAAAGGAACATAGTTACCAATAGACATTGTAGAACATCAGAACTTTAGTATTGACTCGTCAGCATTAAAATTCCTTTGATCCAAAAGACAATAACATAAAATTCTTGTTTATTTTTTACTAGTATTTAAATAGACTGAATTTCAACAGATAAGTCACCCCAAAATGTTACTATGTGAAACAGGCTGATCTTCAAAATAATAATCGATAAATTGGTATGATAAAGCCATGTTATTGAAATAAAACTTGTTAATAATTTTTTGTTGCTGTTGCTCAACACTTGGAACAAGGGAGTAGGACTAATATGTTCCTAACCAAAATTCTTCACAACAATTATAAAAAATACAAATATTGTTTGTATTACCGTATATCTGCAGAGAGTTTTTTTGCAAGTACATATATCCAATTTTGTTGATTCAGACACAAGGGTAAAAAACGAATAAAAAAAAACAAAATTTCATAACGTATTCAAGATTAAATACTTTCTAGTCTGGTTGTCCTAAATCATTTGCAAGTCTCATATTTTTTGTATATAAAAGTTTAAATTTAAAAAAAAGAATAGATAATTGTCAGGTAGTTAAAGATTTACGGATTTAAAAAATAGATTATGATGAGAAAGTATACAGCACTAGATTAAAACAAAGCAATTTGGCACTGCCGCACTCTTTGTTTATTTAAGAAATTTTGAAAAGTTATTAAGGCAATGTTGTAATTCTAATGTGTAAAGGCCCAGCTATTATAATTTAATTGGCCTACAGGTATAAACATGTAATGGATCGTGCATTTCCTCTTTAAATATGGAAATAATATTTTTTTACAAAGATTTACAAATTTATTTCTGTTTAAAGGAAACAGTGGAAAATATTTTTATGTTAGGAACAGGGAAATCCAATCATTTTGTAAAACTACAGCTGTGATCAATTGCTTTTTCTTTTCATTTTGTAATTAGCGTATTAGAAACAAGAAAAGAAATATGAATATTGTTATTATATTATGTTATTAATAGGACATGTTTTGGTTTATATGTTTTTATGTCATTAATAACATGCCTTGCTTGTATTGTTCAAGGCCAAACATAAATTGTTTTATTTACAACCTCAATTCAATTTAATGCTATAAAGCTCATCCTCCAAAGGCATAATACAGTGCTTGGCTGTAAAGCAAGTTTGGTTGTCACTGATTCCATATTCTCTGACATTGTGGCAGCGAGTCTGTATTGGAGAAACAATATTTGTATAATTTTTCATACCCTCAAAATAAAGACATCTTGACAATTACATGTCAAACCTTGTAAATTTTGTATTAGCATATATTGAAAGCTAGCCCAAATAGAAGGATTTTAAAAAAACCGCAAGTCCCACAGATGCTTAGAACATGTCTAGCATTGGCAAACTTTTTTCCCTCTCATTTGTTAGGCATGTTGTTGAGGACAAAAATACAAAGAAAACGACTTTAATTTATATATGAGCGGGATGAGTGGTAAGAAATCAATCTTTTGACTATTATATCCTGTTATCGCCTCTGGTCTTTGGTGCATAACATGGCTGCAATAAAAGTTGACATAAAGCTCTTCAACAGAAGGTTCAGGGTGGAATTGGGTCACAGCAACTCTGAATTGGTACCGACCCCTTCGAAAATGAGTTAGTTTCTTTGGAACAAGCACCCCCCCCCCAAAAAAAAAAAAAAAAAAAAAAAAATGGAATCAGGAAGGAGTGCAAACTACAGTGCTCAGTGGACTCCTCAAGTACCTGGTATCAATAAAAAAAGAATGCTTAGTGCTTATAGCTTCTGGTTAAGACACGAGAAAAATGCAGAGCAGCCAGAGCTTGTTCCTGGTTGAGAAAAACAAAATACCTCGATACCTACGTAATATATATTTACTTGATTTTGCCAGGAGGAGTAAAATAACTATATAAATAATGTAAAATAATATATAAATAAATAACTATTTAAACAGCTACGGCTTGTAGAAATGCAGGAAGCCTTCTGGATGATGGTCCTGTAATGGCCAGGTAAAAATTGGTTTTGATGAAGTTCTGAGGCGTTAAAAATGAGCAAGCGCAGAATCACTAAGAGAAGCTGATTTTTTGTCAGTAATCTTTGTGTGAATCACCTCTTTAGCATACATTTATTTGCTCTACAAATTGTTATTACTATTTTTTCCCTGATTAATGAAAAATTAAATCTTTTTCTGTATTCACTTCCTTTGGTGCAGGTCTCCCACAACCCAACTTTGTCAGCAACTCAAGTCCAATCACTGTTGGATGGATACGCTCAATGTCCGGAATCGCCTGACAAGAGACTGAAAAGCTTTGCTTGCTGTCCATATGCCCACAGGCTATGGATAATGAGGATCTCAAAACGGTTTGTGAAAGAGTGATTATCAGGAGTTGACTTACATCCCTAAGCAACTTTATAGTTCATTTGTGCCCACACAACTACATGAGCTGCTTGAAAGAAATGATTCTGGTGTAGTTTCATGAGGGTGAACTCAACACCCTGATTTCCATGCCTTAAGGTCCGCTACTTGATCCAATGGGCCTGCAGTTTCATATGGCACTTTGAGGTCCAGGTCCAGGACAAATATTTCCCCCTCATCGATAGCAACAATATCCAGGCAGGGTCTAGTCCCATCAACTACTTGGAGGGGAGGTTCGATGGCAATTAGACCTGGAGGCACTGATCATGCCTCCGTATAATCTTTGAGTGATTCTCCGGGGACAGCACATGGAGAGCGGCTCTGTACCAGCCCCGCTTCTCCTACATTTGGCTGGTATACTAGAGTCCACCTCCTAATTGCATCCCTTTAACCCATTGAATTGGTTCTAAAATGGAACCTAGACTCGTAATGAATCAAATATCCATCATGAAGCAATCAGTTGCCCTGTTTTCATACTGTGCTCTGTTGTCCCTTAGGCTGCACAATTCTCCAGTTCCCTCCAATACAATCATGTTGCCAACGCTACAAATTCCCATAGGGAGTCATTCTGCCAAACCAAGGCATGACATCATAAATTCCATTACACAAAATAAGGTAATTTGCCGGCAAAAATATTTCTATAATACATCTGTACATTAACAAAATTATGGATATTTCAGATGACATTCTTTTTTACTATATTGTCGCAAGTTTGAGTTTCAACTAAAAATACTTTCAAAATATGCTTGATTCAACTCGCTTGTCCTACCTAAGCAGAATCTGATTGGTCCGGACTCACCTAGCTTACACGTTCAGTACATGCACAAGCACCCTATGTTAAAAATCCAATGGGCCAGTGGGAGCCTCAGCTGCGTCCTAGCCCCTTAATTTTCTTTGACAAATGTAGAAGTCAGCTTTGTGAGGGCTCATTCTACCTGTTCTACCCAGGCTCAGTTTAATCCAAGTTATCCTACAATGCGTTTCGCCATACTCGTTCTGACATACCAGATTTTTTATTTATAGAGAATAATATATGTTATATCATACGCCAGTTCGTTTTTGCCCCATGTAATAGTGTAAGTGTGGCCTCTTTATTTAAAAATATTTAATTTTTTTAGATGTGCAGTATGACGTATTTAGATAATTCTATAAAATGCAGTACACAAAGTGATGGAAAAACATCTGAGCATTCTAGTTTTTCAAGCAGGCAGAGTGGGTCACAGCCTGAGTTACAAAGGCTTAAGGCGCTGCCCATACTGAACAAGCTAAGTGTGAAAAAGCACCTGCCACCAATTCACGTTTGAAATCAGTTCAGTCCATACTGCAGTGTTCCACACGCTTTAGGGTTTGGAATATGAAGATAATGTGAGGTGGCTTGCTAGCTTCATGTTTCACACCTTCAGATTTAACAAATACTACAGTAACAGTTAAATTGGCCTTAACTCATCGAGGAACAAGTATGAGCACATATTATGTGTGCTTTTGGCAAAAAACTATTTTTAGTACATTCAACAATAAAAAATATTGCTTTAATATAAGTATTTATATTAGTTTGAAAATTCATGTATACTCTGTATCTATTTACTCAGCTGCTAAGGTTTACTTTAAAAAAAAAATCTAATCTATTTTATTTCTGTATGCATGTTTCAGGTTTAAAGATAGATATAATTATTAAATATTTAACTCTTTTATTGACAGAAATAGTATATCTTTTAAGTTTAATATAATTTCGTCTTCAAAATTAATTTTGAATAATTTTATCTGTACATTTCATAACTCCCATTTATTTACATTTGTATGCACAATTCTTTCTATAGTAATTTACATTAAAAGTTATTAAAAAAAAAAGAAAAAAAAAAGAGTGGTTTATATATCAAAAAGTACTTACATGTTTTTTTTTTAATTATTACAAAATAATCACGCAAATAAAAAGTTCCTTTATTTACAATATAATACATATTTAAATGTTACGTGAGAGGTGAAGGGAAATCAGCCAAATAACACTTTTGCACTTCATTTTATATAAAACAAATTATTTAATTTTTTTAAAGGATAAATTTGTATTGTTTATGGATCATTGAACGACATTATTTACAGGTATTTCACCACAAATGAAAATTTAAAAATCATATTTACAACACATTTTCTTCAGTCCTATAATTAAAACAGTTTTTATGAACCAATAAAAGTAATGGGTAAACGGTTAATAACAAAGAAATGAGGCAATGAGGAATCGTAAAAAAATTCTCAAGACTTTTTTTTGTAATAACTATTTCTTTTGATTTCGATGAATAACAATAAAAGTGAATCTGAACAGATAAAATTTGATATACAAATAGTTTATATTTATCTCCTGATGTATTATTTCACAAACGCCTCAGCAGGAACAGCCCCTGTTTTTTGCAACTCAGAAAATGAGAAGACAGCTTGGTCATAATTCCATTCAGTCTCGTTTAAGCATCTGTAGAAGAAATTATAATTATAAACACTATCCTAAGGAGGCACATAAGGTCATGACTTACTTTTCCGACCACATCAGGTTCATGCCGGTATGGTTCGAGAGCCTGATGACCATCGCCTGCTTAGTGGTGACATCCATTTGAGCTGGACTTATGGCCGACGGATGACAAACTGAAGATGACACTCCAGCAACAGGAGACACAGCCACCGGTGGAGCATCTTTCACTTTGGCTATCTTCTGTGCAAATAGAATAATATGTTTACAGTTCGAGCTTTTTTTTTTAATTTAACTCCTTAACACTCATGGTACACCAGCTTGGCAAAATGCCTTAACACATTTGTTACAGCACTGTTTTGTTAAGACAATCTCAAAATAAGAATTGTTTTTAGTTTTAAAATCTATTTAGGTTTAGGTGGGGAACACCTGACTCATCGCTAAACATATATGGATTAATATAATAATTAAATAAGTTATTTATAAATATTTTCTCTTACTCTGAGCTGCTCTGTGCTTGCCGGTAAAATTGTGAGCTGTTCATTTATTATGCAAAAACCTGTCCCGACTGGTATGATAATGAAGACCCTAGAGAAATACTTGACAGTTGTATTTGTCTTATCTCTCTCCTTGAACAGGCCGCATACGTTTAATTGTATCAACTCCGGCTGTAATAAATTTAAAATAATAATAAAATAAGTATAATTACAGTCAAATTTAAAGTTAATACTCTCATTGTACTTACAGAAAATAATACAAGATCAACGACAAATGATGAAGGATCATGCTGTGTCTTAGACATAGTCTTTAAATGTTCGATTATGTGCAGTTTTCCTTTTTTGAGCAGGCGGACACGTTTTTCTACATTGGACACCCTGAATAAATTACGGCTGTTATGCAGATAACTAGACAACCTATAAAAATATTACATGATCAGTGAGAAAATTGTTAGTGAAACTTTTTTGAAAAAGACTCACTGTGTGTCAGACTGGTCGAGCATCGAGGAACAACAGTCATATGAGAACTGTGCATCATCGTGGTATGCCTCAAGAAGCATCGTACGGTCGTCGCTATCATAAATTTGATAATAGCGCTCGAGGAACATTTTTGATATGTTCATACCGTTGCCAGGGTCACACATGAAACTCGGCTTTGACGAAGGCAATTTTGTCTCATCTTCTCCAGTGTCAAATAGGATCGGCGGTGGAAGATTCAACCCATCCTTTAAAGATCATCCCGATATTTACAACAATTTCAGACTAAATAAGAATTTGATTGACTCACCAATTTGATGACCTTGGGGAATCTCTGCCTTACAGCCCTGAGAAACATAGAAACAACCAAAGTACAAGTCATAATTCAGTTTAACAATTCCAGATCAGAAGTCTCTCGCGTATTCAAAACAAAAAAAGGGAAGATTTATGTGTGGGAGATTTTAGAAACAAACTGAGGATGGAAGTACTGGATAAGAGATGGATTTAAAGTCAAAACTTGCTTTTTGAGTGAAAAATGGAGAAATAATATATCTAAATAAAATAAAAGTTGAATAACTGGTCTATGTCGCCAATCCAATGAACTTTTTATGGATGATAGGGGTGGGTTTAAGCTTATAACAGATAAAATTATTCAGAAATGATGACAATTTAGTGACTTTTTTTTAAACTCAAACTATAACTGCAACCTTTTTAAAATATTTTTTTATTTTACCATTTTATTTTATATGTTTTCAAGTTGCCAATAACTTCCAAAACCCTCTATAAAAAGAAAAAAAAAATACAAATAAACGCAAATATACTCATGGGTGTTTGTAAAAATTCAAACGAATAAAATGGAAGTTTTCAAATTGTTCCCATATCGTCCTCATGAGGGGAGGTTCAGATGAAACTCTCAGCAGCAAAGTGCCAAAAGGCCCTTCCAATGCTGAGTACAGAACTACTCGCATAATGCATAGTCGTCTTTCCTGGATAACATGAAGAAACAACGAAGGTGAGTTCGAACAATGCGAACCACACCGGTCATATGCAATCACCTCACAGCGAACACGATGAACTCACAACTGCCAGCAAAAGTTTGAATTTTTCAACACCCACTATGTATACGCTTTGAGATTTAATAGTTGTCAAGAATTTTGAAAGTTTTACAAGGCTATTTAACAGATTTTTACAATTTTGAGGAATAAATAAAATCTCCCACTGCACCTTCCTTTTATCTTTTCTTTTTAATTATTATCATTATTATGTTTTAATGGGTGCATACAAATTGTCAGTAGATACATGTAAGGTAAAATAAAACATTAAATTAATATTTTCCAAAAAAGCATATTCACTAGATGGTGCATTTCAAATTTTCAATGCAATTCAAAAGAAAAATGGATAGCAAATAGAAGATTTTTCAAGAAAAAAAAATGTAAAAGTTTTTGGATTGGTTGATGCGTTTTTAATACATAAATTTTGTATTTTCTATCTAAAAAAATAAAACAACTTTATTTTTAATGAGGGTGTTTCAACTATGAGGTTATATGAACCCTCGGGGTGACGGTGTTTTTGAAAGGGGAACAAAAAGTTTGTAAGCCTGTTGGGTTCAAAAGCAGGGCTGCTGGATTCGAACGCGGGACCTTTATCTTACAGTGACGGGCCTAAACCATTAGGGCCACCGACACCCCTTAGAAGAATTTGATTCAAAAATTTAAAAAAATTTTTTTTCCCAATATAAAAGAAATGTTAGGAAGTCATTATTTTAAAAAAGAAATTATTTAATATTCCTCTATTTTAACAAAGGCTGTAAACATTTTTTAAGGATCCACACATTTACAATCGTTTTGTTTTAATTACAAGCTTGTATTTTACATTAAATAATTTTTAACAAGTTAATTTTCTTTATTTGAATTTAAAAGGCAAAACAAGTTTGATAGGAAAGACTTTTTCTTCTCTATATATTTTTTTGGTACCATATTCTCTTTTATAAATGGCTAAGCAATAAATAGTTTCACTTAAATGCTGACATTTCTTGAAAAAATGTTCCACAGTTCTCAATAACAGAAGAAGACCAGATAAAAGTTGTTGTCAGATGTTGAAATGGCCTCATAAAATTGTTTGAAAGAATCCGTATATGTTGCTACCATTGAACAGTGATGTACAGTTGAAATTGGTGGTTTCGTATAATATATAAACTTTTCTCTTCACTATTTTAAAAATTTATGCAATCCTTGCTGTCCATGTCTAGTGAATGATACGACCATTCCTGAAAATCAGTTAAATTTGATGGTCGAGCATCCAACCATGATGACATTTTTTATACATTTAATACGATGCATGTTGACGTAGTTTAAACAGCTGATGTATTTAGCTCTCATCCTCTCGTTAAATTTTTAGCCGTTAAAATCCATGAATAGTCCAACGATGATGAAGTTAATACTGCTGCTTCCTGTAGAGCGCTACACCCCTTAAGAAGTTTGGTTTGAAGTATTAACCAATACTTGATTGATCCAATAATGATCTTGACTTAATTGGATCTTTTTAAAATACTGATATTCCATTGAGCAAGACATCATCCTAGGAAGTTTATGTTCAAATATTTACCAATAGTTTACGAATAAACTCAATAGATCCAAATTTTTTATTTTATCTGCTAAGCTGGCAACACTGTTGGGAGGAGTTTTCGCAGATTCGAGCTGCATACAAGTGAATGCGTGGCTGCTGAATACTCGTGAACCTTGTACGTCTTAATAGTTGCCCCCTCGCTAGGACAGCTAGTTGCCTTGGCAATTGTCAGCATCTCGTTTTTTTGTTTGATTGTCAACATTTGGCTTCTTCAGTAAGACGGCCTAATGATTCATTTTAAAAGGAAGATCTGGGACTGTGTCTCACTCTCTTCCATAATTAATTTCAAAATACAATCAAATCCATGTTGACTTTTTTTTTTTAAACAAAATCTCTTGAAGAATCATTCAATCCATGTGATACACACTAAGGGCTTTTGTCAAGCCCTTCTGAAAAATTTCAGAAGTTTGCAGTCAATGTAACTTAGATAAGTGGAATTCAAATGAATCTAATAGACGTCTGTCGAAGATTGGGTTTACTCCTTTTTCTTCCAAGTTTCTCACCCGAAACACTGATTCTGGAATGGATTCTTTCAAAAATATAGCTGGGAGTGTTGTCATCTCCAGAATTGAACGTAGAATCAATGAAAATTGATGACGTAAATATGTGTTGGCAATTGATCAACCACAACAAACATTTTTTAAATGGTTTGGATCATTAACAAAATCTTTGTTGTCATTTGAATGGTTTTACATAGCAATACCTGATTTGTATAAGTAACATATAAGTGCTTCTTGAAAAACAATCAGTCCATGCTGTACTTGCTCAAATGTATTTTTTTCACGCAATTACACAAATTTATATTTCTTAAAGAAATAATTGATCTAAACCACTTTTTTTAATTGTAACAATTTGTTTTTTTTTTAATTTTTTTGTTTTTGTTAAAACATTGGTATTTAAAAGTCTTGCCTTAAAGCAGACTTCTGAAAGGAGGACCAGTAAAAACTTTAATAAAATAGTTATTTATTATCTGCAGGCCAATCAATGCAACGTACTTTATTTTTGGACAGAACAATATTTGAGGGTAGAAGTTTTCTTGTAGATAATTTGATCTGGTTTATTCCACACACCATAATTTAAGGTTAAACTCTCCAATGTTCGAGATTAAATAAAACAGCAATATTTTGCCATATCACTTCTTCTTGTCTTTCTATTGGCCATACAATTTCGGAGTCAATTGGAGTTAACTTTGATGATACTTTAATGAAGAGACGAAAAATTGATGATATCATAACGGTTTTTCATTTCCTGAACAGTGCCAATCATATTTTAATCAATGCTAATAGGTTTAATAGTAAAAATTTGAACTACAACCTTTGCATATAAGCAGTTTTTTTTTCTTATATTTAGTGGTTATTTTCTCTTTAGACCAAAATGAGTATAGACGAAAGGTAGATTATCTGATGAGCACTAATAAAATATCTTGATTTGGTTTCATTGGGAAAATGATTCTTTTAAGACTTTACATGACCCAACACATAAAATTGTTTGTCATGTGTGGAGCATTTTTCCCCATTAATTATGACGGTCAGTTTTATGTAATCCTGATCCTGATCTTCGCTGACATTGTGATTATAATTTTCATGATGACACTCGGCACATATTTCGAAAATGTCTTATAATTTTCATGAAGAGTATTTGTTATTTATGATTTCGCAACCTGAAGATGCAAAAAATTGATGTCATAAATATAACTTTTCAGTTCTTTTTACATTTTTTTAAAAATGAATTATAAACATTTAATTTATCAAAAAACAATAATAAAAACAGAATTTTTATAAAAAAACAAACAAAATTAACAGAAAAAATAGGCTAATGTTTACATAAATGAGGAGTATTAAATAATTATAGTTTTTTTGCATTATCTTATTTTGTTGTCAACGCATCTTTTTGTTTTAATAATTCAGAAAATAAAAATTTATAAACTGTATTTTTTCTAAGATCAAATTAAAACCCATTTTCACAAGCAAAGTGAACAAATTTTGGCTGAATCCTCTCATAGGATGGTTTGGAAGAGTTGACATCCGTCCTAAAATACCTGGAAATCTGGTTTCATCGTGGTCATACTTGCCGTTATTCACCTCGACAGAGAATCCAAATTTCGTGAGGCTTGGACATATTTCTCTTTCACAAAGGATCGGAAACACAAATGGCTTTACCTTACATACTCCTCGTGATTTTGATACTTGGCGCAAAGCGGATTCCCATCTAGGTTGACTTCTTCCAAGTTCATGCCTTTCAAGGTGTCTAGCTGGCGTATGTCTCGTATCTAGTGATTAAAAAGGACAAAATATTAATACTTTTACATAATTACCACTGTGCCTCTTGGACATTCTAAGATTGAATTTCAAAGGTTTAAAGTAAAACTTACTCTGTTATGTGATAAAGAGAGCGATTTGAGGTGTGGTAGCTTATCAAATACTGTCTTTATTATGTCGAGCTGTTGGATTTTGTTGTACGACATGTCGATGGCAGTAACATCAGGGATTGAGTCAGAAATAATGTCAATGGCATTCATCATCACATTTGATCGGCTCAAAGGGCAAAACATATTTTCCGCTAACAGAACTGAAAAAAATAAAAATAAATAAAGATTTACAAAGTATTGTGCTGTTCACATAGTCTTCGGACAAATCATTCATTTAAATCTATATAAAATAATTGACATCTCTTTGAAGTACTTTTCCTTTAAGTCTTTCAAATGTCCATATCGGTTATTACAATAGTATTTGGGAAAAAAAGTTATTGAACTAATTTTGAAAAGTTTTATAACATTTGTATGACCCTGTTTTTGCGTCATACTCCTGCAAGTGGAAAATAAGAAGGAAATTTTTGTTTGCACTTGGGTGCCTGGTATCAGCCAGAATTTTGCCACTTTCAGAAGTTGGTTGGTATTATTTTGCCAATTGAATCCTTTGACGATGTATGATATCTATCATCTTTATAGAGTGAGTACAGGTTCTGTTGGTTGTTGTTTTTCTTCTTGTTATTTATTTAATAGAGCAAATGATAAGTGTGAACTTGTAATCATTTGTATTTTTAAGTTTTCTAAGTTCTGCAAAACGGAGTATTTCATGCCTTCACGATAAATACATATAATATAATAATGTTAACTTAAAAAATTTATATGTAACGAAAGTTTGAACAAACTTACTCGGGTCGGAATGAAATTTAGAAAGGTCCAAAGATTTTTGGTATGCACTGTATCGAGTTGACATCACCTTCTTCATCATTTCAATTATTTTGGTGTCAATTTCTAGAATAGGTGTGTACGGCCTGACCCTTATGGAAAGCTGATAAAACATTAAAAAAAAAAAAAAAAATTAAAGCCAACTGATACATTTTTAAATATACTCAGCATACTTTGCGGCCATCAGTGACGGTGATTCTTTTATCGGCATTGAGTAAATCCTCTGCTGTTACACGATCATCAACAACGAATGATGTACCATCTCGTCCGACTTTATACTGAAACAATGTTTTAAAAGTTTATTTATTGAAAGGACCTTATTTAAAGCCACTACTTACATTCATAGGCAACAATGGTGTTGGTTTGATGTAATTTGACAGTAGTTTAAGCAAATAGTCTTTTCCGTACCTGTTCCCGTAATAAATCTGCAGAAAAATATATATTTTTAATGAAACACATCTGAATATTTTCATTGGTTTTCAAAAACCCTTACTTCAACTTTAAACCAGTTGACACCATTGTCAGGAAGTGTCCTCCTTCTATTTGCTCTCCTTCCATCACCTTTGGAGTTGCTAAAAACAATAATAACTATAAATTAAACAATTAAACCTGAAAAAGGTTGAAAAAAAGCATTCTTTTTAGTTTTGACAAATTATTCTGTTAGTTCCTAGAGTTTTTCTTCTGGCTTTAAATCCATTATAGTTCAGGTAAAATTTTAAAAACTAAATTTTAAGAACACATTTTTTTTAATAACAGGCCTCACTCGTAAAAAATATGTATATATATTTCCTCCCAAAGGCACTTTAATAACACAAGGCATTGTAATTCTCTCCAAATAATCACTTCTCGAGCATAATGCCAATCTGTATTTATTTTACGAATTGATATTTTAAAACAGATAAGCATTCACTTATTTTGCATTAGTCTTTTTAAATCAACCACACAGTTGGAAGACTCACGATAGAAGACTGCTGGATCGGATACGGAAGAACCTGTTGTCATATTTAATCCTTAATTTGTTCACCGGTTCAATACCGAAACTAAAAACATAAAGGAAACTTTTCACTTTTTCTTCCCTGTCAATTTTTAGCAGACAACTTTCAAAGGATGTAACATTTATATAAAGGTTGAAAGAGTGGAACAAAATTGGGAGGAAAATGCCCCAATGTTTTTATATATATATTTTTAAAGGCCATTGAAACTTTTAATCAACAATAAATTTAACTATACAATAAACTTCTTAATTTAAGATACTGTTGATTACACATGCTGACTTGAATACTTCATTAATTTATTTTCTTTCTTTTCCTAACATTCATGTTGACAGAATATTCAGTAAGAGTGCTATTGTTTTTATTATTGATGATTCATCCGTAACCATCAAATTAGATTTTTTTTTTTAAATTACGAAAACCTTAATGAAAAGAAGTTAATATTGAATCTCAGCTCTACAATTTCAATAAACTTTGTTGTGAATTATCTGTAAAAGTAAAATAAAAGGCTAAGATTCAAAATGTAGTTTACTTTGCATTGATTTTGAAATAACATCTTCTTTGTTTTATCCGACATGGGTTCGACTTGCTCAGAAATAAATTTGTGTCGATAGTTTCTGCTTGTTTTTTGTCCATAGACTCTCTCCCGCTTCTTAAAAATCTGTAATTATATACCGATTACAGGACCTACTAACGCCGGGAGTTTAATTGAAAGAGTTTGAAACAAATTTCGATCTAAATCTATCACAATATCAAATAAGTCAAATACAACACTTACAATCTATCCGACTTGGAACCTCGGCTGTCTGTTATCATTTCGATGTCAGTATCTTTCATGAAATCGTCGAAGTTCTTCCAGGAGCGGAATTTTCTGTTCGACATCTTCGTGTTCTTAAAAGATACTCTTCTAATAACATCATGCTCCTTCCTGTCATCATGTTCGAAACCTAAAACATTTTTCAATTAATAATTAACAATGATGGCAACCAGGCAACTTCAATATTTTTTTAAAAAGTTATTTAGAGATTGTGAGATGCGGTCTGGTGTGATGTAGATTTAGAAAAAAAATTTCTTTGTTGTGATCATCCTCATCAGGGCCTGGGATTTACTAAGATTGCTTAAATTATACAAATATATAAGATATGACTATGAATTTATACAATGATTTACACAATATAGAAATTTTAGGTTTAATCAACTATTTCTACTCACTCAAATTGTTTGTTTTCAGTGTAGATGTGTAACTGCTATGTGTCGTGTTAAGAGGGTTAATGAGATATTAATGTTCTTTTGTTTATATACGTGTGTATATAAAATAATCATTTTTACAAACAACTTTTGGCATAGCCATTGTTAACAGGCCCAATATTTGCAGACTTAATAATAAAATACTTAAATACTTTGATTAAGCCTAAAATTTCTGTATTATGTACATCATTCTTTAAATTCATAGTGATATTTTATATGTATTTATATAATTTAAACAATTACAGGCCCTGACGATGATCTCAATAAAGATCGAAACGGCACGACAAAGAAAATGTTTTTCTAAACCTATATCACACCAGACCGCATCTAACGATCTTTAAATATTCATTACATAACGGTCACTAAATATTACACAAGTTTTTTTTTTATTAGACCTGTTTTATAAGACTACTTCAATATAAATTATTGTAATTGATAATTTATTTCAAACTAACTGAATTTACTTCTGTTAAAAATAGTTGAGATTTTTTAATTTTAACACTTTATTGCCTAAAACCTAAGGTAATTTAAGCTTGTTTTCATTCTACACTAAATAAATGCAATTATGCAATGTTTGTAACTTGAACAGAAAATAGATTTTAGTTATCAATAGAAAATATGATTAAAAAAAAAATCGTCTAGATGCTAACTTAAATAAGATTAAGTTCAATAATTAATAGACAAATTGGATGTGAATATCAACAAAAAATTGGAAAAGTTGATATTTTTGAAAAATCCTATCCAGTTTAACCAGTTGATAATGTAAGGTTGGGACAAAATTTTTGAATTTTGACCTTGCTCCAGTTTGCACAACTATCTCACTGTTTCATACTAAATTATATATATTACTAGCTTTGCAACCAACATTTATAGGAAAATCAAATCATCCTAACATAAAATGAAATATTGTACATTTGACAGAGGCAAAATTAGCAGAAATAGAAGGGTTCAGCGTTTTGGTAACCTTACTTCCATCCCTGTTGCCCTCTATCAAGTCAATGATACATTATTTATTTATTTTTTTAAATATGAGGATGTGAGGTTTTTCCTCTTCAAAACTGAAATAATGGTCATAACAAAATTAATAATATTATGAGGGTAAAATGGATCTTTGACCTTTTTTTTTACCTTACACTAACTTAAAATCCAGTTTAATGCTTGATGGTCTTTAAAAAAGCTGGAAGTGACTATAAATAATAAATAACAACAAAAATAGTAATGAACAATAAATTTGAAAATTCATAGGTTTCCTTGGTTAAATATAAAAATTCATTCTACTGTGTTTAAGCATGCCAACAAAATATATACTGAGGTGGATTAATAAATAAGCACTTTATGAGATAATTGTTAATGTTCTAATAAGAAATAAATTTGCTGACAATATTAGTAGATTGTTAGTACGTAAGATATAGTATAAATGTTACATTTATTATTGTACAGTAACTATTTGTTAGTCCTTACATGAGAGGAATAAATTATTGTAAGCAATTCCTCATAACATCGAAACCAGCCTTAATATATACCATGACAAAACAGACAGGATGGGAAATACATTTTTAAAAAATATTAAAAAAATAAAATAAAATAATAAAAAAATAAAATAAAAAATCTTACTATCATATCTTCGGAAATCTTCATATCTCGCGTTCCTTTTAGTCTTTCCTTTGCCCATTTTTTCCACTAGTATAGGAACTTCGACGTACTAGAGCTACTTTCTGAACAATGGGCAATGTACCAAGGCAAAGGTAAGGTGTAACTGTTGTATTGAAGTTATATGAACTGATGACTAAATCCTCATAGGGAAATTCCTGTAAACAAAATCCTCTTGTACTAGGTTCCAAGGGGTCCAGTATATATGCTAAGTTTGGACAACTGCTATACATTCAGGTATACAGTTGAAAAAAGTGCATTTTTTTTATAAGAAATACATTTTTTCTTAAGAGAAATTTGGAAAAATGAAATGAAAAATGTGTTGACACAAGCGTTTAGCACGGACGCAATACTATAGGAACTAATTTTCAAGGTGAAATGTGATCAACATTAATGTAAAAAATACAGGAAAAATCAATCGTGTTAGTGTTGATAATTGTTTCTGTGCGATGTATAAGAAAGAGATTATGACCATTTGTGTAACGTCATAGAATAATAAAAAATTAAAATGTATATTTTGTAATAAGAATATTCTATAAGAAATAAATTCATTGTATAGTTCAATAAAAAACATTAATTTTTTAGCATATTCTCTTTAAAATTGAATAGATTTGCTTCCAATGACTGACAAGTAATAAAAATACTCATCAAAAAGATAACACCCACAATATAGTTACAAAAGGAGTGAATTGGATTAAAAAGTTATTATCAAAAAGTTCAAATAATTATGAGTAGAATTGGTTTCTTATGGTTAAAACACTGTTAATAGTTAAAAATTTGGTTAAAAAAGTATTTTGCCATTTTGTATAGCTGTTTAGAGGTTTAGATTTAGCCAATAAAATGTGATGACGTCAATTCTGGGAAAATTCTATCGCAAGACTTATCTCTTGCTTATCTTGTTTATCAACAGATTTTTTTTTAGGAAGCACCTTTACATTTTTTATTTTACAATTTTATTTCTCAATAACCTTCAAACTACAGGTAACGAAATTTTTTCTTCACAATGTAATTTCATCAAGTATGACTTGATACTACCAACTCTGTCACTACTCCTGACCAACTATTTAGTTTTTGCCACTGTGCAAGATGGTCTTAAATCTTACACTATATAAAATTTCATGTTGTTGGAATGTCATGTAGTAGACTAAATTATGCAGAGAAAAGGAGGGAAAATTCAAAAAGGTGGGGTTGAGATGGGAGGTTGGTGTCTGAGTGGATCTAAGTCACGATAGTGTGGTAGAGCAGCAGCGTATTTAGTCGAAGGTCGTGGGCTCGAATCCGCTCGTGACTTTTTTATCTCAACCAAAACCTTAATTAAAGATTAATATGCAAAGAAAGTTGAGATGATACATTAGTGCCACAATGGGACTTGAAGCTATGGCTTTAGGAGAAATGTTAAGTTTCAAATGCTTAGCAACAGGATTGCATCTTATTTATGTAAACTGATGTCTGAATGTCATACCAAAATTTGTAACATGGCAGTCACAAATTGACAGAGAATAGCTATAATTTATTCCGTATTATATAACAGTAAACTAATACAAAACCTCTCTCAAAGTTCCTTATTTTTGCAAGAAAAGTTATTGTTGTACCATATTGGCCAAATGAAAGCTGACGAGAACTGGGGAAACATTGACACAAGGCATTTTGTGACCTACTGAGAGGACTCGTTTAACTAGAAATAAGGCACAGGTACCAAGTGAATTATTCAACCAAACAGTAAAAATTGGCCAGTAAGCTAGGAATTGAAAGAGAATAGCGTCAATTTTATGTCATATTATATAACCCATATGTTTTTAGTTAGTCCTATTTAACCAAAGTAATGATTAAAATAATATTACATAACATTAACCAAAATACAAAGCCCTTGTTTACCTGGCCAGTCTACTGATTCCTTATCAAATGAAGAAAAGCACAGAATGTCTTTGTCCTCACTGATTTCAGGGCTGAACATCTCATTTCCAAATAACAAAATTCTCTTTTTCTCTCATAGTACCTTATTTTTGTATAAACGTTTGTTCAATTACAAACTGAAAGGTATGGTTGAGCCCTGGGGAAATGTTGATGCAAGTCATTTCGTGACCTATCGAAGAGGACCATCCAGTGAGTTACTCAATAAGTCTGCATCAAAATGTTTTATAGCAGGTATAATATTGAAACTTTTTGTCTGGTTATTGGGTTAACTACTGCCTGGTTGCCATATTGAAAAAAATTTTTTATACTGTATGTATATACACTTTCATGTTAATAAAAAGTTTTGAACTGTTATTTAAGTAAACTGTTGCCACGACTCTGTGTTATTAAAATTCAAAGCCCTCAATTCAGCCAACCAGTCTACCGATTCCATATCAGAGGAAAAAGAGTACAGAACGCCTCTGACCTCCAGGTTTCAGGGCTGAACATCTCATTGCCAAATAACAATTCTCCTTTTCTCTCATAATTCCTTGTGTGGTCAGTGTCCCAGTGAATAATTACTCAATAGTCCAGAGTCAGGGTACTTTACTTTTGTTAAAATATGAGAAAAGGTTGTTTGACGGCTTACATTACTGACTGTGGCTAAGTATTAGGAAACATCAAATCAGTTTCATCAAAGTTTTGAAGCATATTGACACTTTTTGCATGGTTATCATATGAATGAATGTTTACATAAATCATTACAGTACAATTATAACCACAGAGTGTAGGGAAGTGATGTGCACTATAACTTCCTTCTACAATTTGATTTAAATGTGTACATAAAAGTTATTTAGCATGCAAGATTGTAACATGAAAAAAATACGTTCAAAAAACCACAAACAGAAGGATTTAACCTAATGTATAAATAAATAGGTAAAAATACATTTATGATAAATAATTAAAAATACATTTGAATAAGTAAATAAATAAATATTGTTATGACAGGCAATTCCAATTTCTAACTAGATAAGATTAAACTTCAGGTACAAAATACTTAATTTGCCTGTTTCTATTAAGCTGGTAAGCCACCCTCCCCACAATGGACCTGCAAATTAGATTTGTGAGTCCCTCATACACTTAATTTTTTTTTTAACCATATTATGTATTTCCTCCTTTATCCATTCTACGTTCGTATTTTCAGTGTACCAGACTTTATCGAATGACGTTTAGAAATTGTTGTTTGTAACGTTCCTTCTATAATGTTTTACCTGATGAAGGACTACATAAATTCGAAACATCAGAGAGGAAAACACAAACATGAACTGCTGAGTTTTTCATTCTCTGGCCGCCAACCTGACAAATTCTCCAAATGTACCTACCGAATAGGTCTGTTGATAAAAAGTCAGCGTCACAAGCGGGATGAGGTGTCTGAGTGGATTTAAGTCACAATTGCTCAAGTGGTAGAGCAGCAGCTTATTTAGCCGAAGGTCGTGGGATCGAATCCCGCTCGTGACACTGACTCTTTTATCTCAACCAATACCTTACATAAAGGTTAATTAATTGAAAGATGTTACTTGGTCAATTGGACCACGAAAACTAGTGAATTGAAACAGTTTTTAACAAAAGTGATATCTTTTTTTCTATTTACCATTTTACCAATTTATTTTATAATCGTTTCTTATTATTTACCATAATTTATTGTGTTTCAGGGTTTGTAAATGAAAAACTTGTTTATAATTTAACAATTGTTTGTGTTACATAATAAGGAAATGTTAGAAAACAATAAGTTTCTTATAAAATAAAAAGCCAGTTTTTATTATAGGACTGAAAAGAAATGTGGCCGAAAGGTTAAAAGAGAATTATAACGGTAAATGGTGAAAAAATCCCTTGAAAGGAATACTAGAGGATTTGCGTCTTTTATGGAAAGCGTGTCGTCGGACCTTGACCAGATCGAGACCAACTTTCTTCAGTCGAATCATTTTCTTTGTAAATTTCATAAGAAGAAATAATAACACAACTTACTTTGTCGAGGGAAACAATGTGTCCACGAGTTGGAAAAACTGGTAAAATAAGATTCCCAGCTTAACGAATAGGTTATGAGCGTCGAGTATCTTTTAAATATTTTATAATAGAAAATAAGGAAAACATGTAAAAGTTGATTACCTTTGTTGTTGAACCTGTCTCTTGACTGTTTATTTATGTATTTGGGCATTTTTAACACTGGTACGACTCAAAAAGAAAAACACGACCGAAGGTGCGAGGGCGAAAGACTCGTGTCTTTGGATCCGACTCAGGGCTTTTGTACCCGAAAAAAACAAGAAAACAAAACAAAAAAAAACAGCTCCACTTCCCGACGGACTCCTATTTCCTATTTGGGTCGAAGAAAAAACAACTTTGACTACCAACAAAATGAAAACGGCGTTTTTACACTTTCCCGTCCAGTCAATTGGGTCAGGATTTAAGGTACGGTGGTGCCGTCTTCTTGCCCAATTGACAAACACAACCGAATTCCCTTTTTACCACAACTTCCACACTGTTATCCAAAAATCCCCTCTTTTGTTTCTTTTACAAATATAAATATATATATATATTTTTTAAATAAAAACCTTAACGTGTTCACAATTTAAAACAAATTCGCACAAACACATCAAAAACAAACGCATAAAAAATGTCAATTCATAACCATTTTTTTAAACATAAGAAATGAGTGATGTATTTTGTTTGAACTGACGACATTAACTGTCTTTGTGTTCGTATTTGGTGAAATAGCGCCAATACTTCCCTGTGAAAAATGTTTTCCATTTTATTTCAAATTTTCTTCATTCTTAACACGAAATTTCTTCATAAAAAAATTCACTGTTTAAATCGTTAAATTTATTTTAAAAGACAAAAAAAAGCAATTAAGGCGGCTTTCACGCCAAAGTGGTTACCAGTAAAAAGAGAAGAAGCTAAGAAAACGAGAAAGAGAACTAGATGAACTCAGTGATTTTTTAAAAATAATTAATTTCGTTTAATCTCGTTCTCAACGAAGAAAACGAAACAGTATTCTGCTGTTCAATTCAACTAATTAAGTCCAATATGAATTTTTTTATTTATTTTGTACCTAAACAAATGAAACGGAAAAATTTTGAAAGTTGTTAAATTGATAATACAGCAAAACTGAAAACTTTTATCGATAAATAGAGAGATTATATGTGCACCGCGATCAGTATATTGGCCTTTTCATTTTTTTTTTGTCTAGAGCTCCTCGTTAAGCTTGAGGCGTTTTACCAAATCCCAAAGCTTTTTCAAGAGCTCCCGTGTGTATCCTTCAGGTTTTTCCACTCCTGGGATTAGGATTCTCAGCCTGTATAGGCCTAACAACCAGCATAAGACATGTTTCGCTGAGTCTTCGTCTTCCTGGCAATATATGCACATACTTCTTTCCACCATTCCAAGTCTAAACATATTCCCCTGGTGTCCAGTTAGCAATCCAACTGTTATTCTAATCTTAACACATTCTAGATTTGGTAGTTCTGCCATTAGTTCCTGTGATGGTCCTTTGATGAACTTTTTCATACGCTTCTGTTCTGGGCACATTGCCATTGAACATAGGACTTATTTTTAACCGTTTGTCTGTAGTTTGGTTGCCCCAAAAGGGTGTCCTCATCGAACATTCCTTGGCAAATTTATTGACCTTTTCATTGCTCCTCTACCTTGTGTGCCATATTAACCAGACAATAGTAATTTTGTTGTTTTCCCCAGTGTCTGACAGAGCCCTAATGATGATCCAGGAAATATTTAAAAAATGAATTAGATGACATTGTACTTAAATAAATTACACGGTACTGACAGGGCCTAAATAATTATATTGTTAATAAGAATACATGCCATCATTAGCATATTTAAATAGAAAATAAGGTAGGAAATAGTAGGGATTTTTTCTCCTTGGACAAAGACAATCTAATAGTTTTCTCACGGGATTTGAAATTTATTGCATAATTGGAAGCCAGAAACAAAGTTTAACAGGATTCTTGATAACAGTAATATTCAGTTTAACAGATTCAGCTGGAATAAGAAGAAAAATATACTTAGTTCCTAGCATAAATCTGTTAATGTTTGAATATTACAACCACACATGAAATTTCAACGGGTATGGAAACATGGTAAAAGCTGGATTTTACACCTGTTTAAGTATTTTTCAATGCCATGGATTTTAAACTAGAAAACAACACACACACACACAAAAATATACTGAGATGAGATTTTTTTTAAAATTTCAGTAACCACAATTCAGAGCAACTATGTCCAATGAAAAGAGAATGAACTAGTGTCTTATAAATGTGAAATAGGTCTTACAAGTGGTGGAGACAAATACAACATGAACATGAACAGACAGTATCCACATAGATATTTTGTAAACATAATGGAACAGAATGTTCAATTATAGTTATATATATATTTAGTATAATAATCAGAATTTAAACAATTAACTATCTTTTAATCTAAAAATCAGGCTCTTTAACTTATTAATGTTCAAATGGGTGAACATTTTCAGTATTGGGCCTGCCCTGAGAAATATCGAGTAATTGGGGAGTGAATGTGACTTATACTTTTGTTTGTAATAATTTAATTATTTTGTTTTTTGTAATAATTTAATTTAATAATTTTGTTTGTTTAATTGTTTAAATTCTTCAATTTTTATTATTTGCTTATGATCTGAAAATCTATTCCATAATCACTTCTCCTTCCGATTGCTTACANTCTTTCATTTTTGTTGTTCAGTTTTTACTCTTTAATTGTATTTTTATATTTATCATTTATATTTACCATTTATATTATTACCATGTATATACGTCCTTATTCTTTTATATATATTGTTATATAAAATGTTGTTATATATTGTTATTTATATATATATATATTTGTATTTTTACATATATTATTATATTTTTTGTTATTGTAAAATGTCTTTTTTATAGTGGATTTTGATCCGTAAATAAATAAATAAATAAATAAATACTTATTATACTTATGTAACTTACTTGTGTGACTTATTTAAACACCTGAGGTACAAATAAGAGACTAGCATTTTAAGATATTGACTTAGTTTTCAAATAAAAGCAGTCAGTAACAGATCGAGATGCTCAAATGGCTGCAGGATGAAAATACAAATGAAAGACCTGAAAAATAAGTAAAAATTCGCAGAGGGTCAGTTGACCTCAGTTGATTATTGGCCCTTAAACTTCCCACATTACTATTATTATAATTTTCTGTATAACCAGTATAACAACACAATATAACAATAATAATAATTATAATATACTTTTGCAGTTTTTGAAAAATAATTAACTTCTTAATATATTTTTAGCTTTTAATAAAAAATTATTGTTATGTCAAATTGCTATTTAATAAAGAAAAAAGTTAACTGGAAAATCGTTCCTCACCCTCCCCTATGAATTTATTTCTTTATGGACATTGTTTATTTGTGATAATCGTTACAAATTTATTAATCTGATTAAATAATTCAAATCACAGTTCCCAATGAAAACGTTCCCACTTGACAATAATTTTGAGGTAGGAGTGAAGGATGTGGTATAAGATATGAGGAGTTTGGAAGGATGTACTTTAGTTTGTATAGAATACCGTCATGCCACATATGGTCAAATGCTTGTGACACGCCTAGGAAGGTCCCCATACTTATTCTTTATGCTCTAAGCATGAGGATATGTGGTCTACAATGTGAAGCACCTGCTGAGTTGTAGAATGTTGAGAGCGAAATCCCTGCCACTTTTTATGTAAACAATAACACTTCACATAGATCTGCACATGCTGTTTTTTCATCCATCAAAACATATTACAGAAGTTTTTATTCTAAATTGCAAAATCTGACTAACACACAAATATGATTACTCCATTTCCCATAATTACCTCCTAAGCAACTGAAAAGAATATGGATAAGAGACCTCGTAAATGATTAATATAATTTTATTAATCCAGAGTGGCTGCCAATGGGTAGCTTTCTTTATAACGCTACATTATATTATGTATAATGTCACAATCATAAATTCAAATCCAATCTGCTGGCTGTATATAATACATGATGAAATAAATTTAAAAAAAAATTTCCTTTAAAAAATATAATAAATAAATAAATTTTGATCATTTTGGGCTAACTTTTCAATATTAAACTAATATGGAATGTAATAAAAATTAAATAAAAAAAAATTCTATACCAGACCACTTGAACTGCAATTATAATCTTAAATGTTTTTCTGAAAGTGATCTTTTTTGAAAACGTATTTTCATTTATGTTGACTCAAGAACTGATTTATTGATATACCAATTTTAATATTAATATTGAAATATTTTATTAGCGTAATCAATATAACACATCTAATTAATATTTTTCATGTATTATATATTTAAGTCATAGTGTCATCTTGTGAAATTTTAACAGTTTTAACATATCCAGGGACAATTTGAAAATTGAATACTTCAAACGTTCATTGAATATTAAAGCTGTTGCTTTAGTTTACTATTTCTTAATTTTCAATTTAGACTAATTGTCATTTATATTTTAAGATTTATATCTGTGCAACTTACAAAATGGATAAGTGGGTTTACAAGAAATAAAAATAAAACGTAAATGGTAATATGGGGATACAATAGCTCTTAAAGGGCACAGTACAATACACTCCCTGACTAATACATCTACATTAAATAACAATATCACTCCATCTTGGTTGTTATATGAAAGAAATGAACTGTTAAACCTTTCTCGTTTTTTATTATTGCCAATAATCATTAAAAAAAGTGATTAAGGCAGCTTTCACCCCAAAGTTGAGACCAGTAAAAAACTCTCAATGGGTAAACTTTGGCGAATTTTACGAATTTTGATGAGCTATAGAGCAAGGGCCAATCAATTGTAAAGGTTGATTGTCTGAATTACAGGGTTGTTATATGAAAGAAATGAACTGTTAACCTTTCTCGTTTTTTAAGGCAGCTTTCATGCCAAAGTGGTGACTCTTTTTTTATTATTACGAATAATAAATTTGATTAAAAAAGAATAATTAAATGAAGAAAGTTGAATGGTGCGTCATTTCGTTCACATAACAATTAACTGCCCTGTAATTTTATCACCTTTTTCCTGTGAACGAGTGAATAAAACAGATGGCAACATGTAGTGGAATAAAATGGTTCATGTATTGTTGATTAAATTTGTTTACAAGTACCAAAACTTTGTACATATTTATAGTCAGATGTCACTGAAAATGTTGTTTGTAAACTTAAGACAATAAAGTTTTTCAAAATGAAGTATCGCTGAAACTTAAATTTTTTTATTTTTTTAAACCATTGTGGCCACCGATGCCCAATCTGAAATTTTATACTAGTCAAAAGCTAAATTACTCTTTAAATAGTAGAGTGTATACCTTTCTATTATTTTTCCAATAAATGATAATATACATTTTATTAAATTTGTGTGCTTTTGTGGCCTGTGTCACTTACTGGTGATGATGACTACCTATCACAAAATCTTCATTATAATATTTAATTTTTAAAAATTAAATGATTAAATTCACATCAGATAACCAGCCAAGAAGGTGGGATCATACTTTGAAGGATTTTGAATTCTTTTTTTTTAGACTGGCTGACGGTGAGATGACCATACCTTGATGTTCAGAAAAAGTGTACAATTTTACATTTTATAACATTGTAATTTTATAATTGCTTGTAAATGAAAATAAATATTTTTTCAAATATATTATTTACAAAGAAAACCACAATTGTTAAATTTTTTCTACTTCCTTATGCACATTTTGCTTTTAACTCATTGAGGATGATTTTTCCTGATTACAATGCCTGGAACATTGCTGATTCTTTTCATTCATGAAAACCAAATGCATTTATTTTACATTCATCATGCCTTAACTCAAAAATATCATTTTGTTCTTCTATTTAACTTAAAATAATTAAACAAAAGATTTCAATTCTTCCGTTGATTATGGCTTGATCATAAAGTGGCGCATTCTGCAGATTTGTCCCTAGACTGACATTTCAAATGTTACCTCCAAATTATATTGAATTTGCCCTTGCGTTTTCTCGACAAAATATTTTATTGAATGTTTTATAAATAAATGCGAAATAATATTATAGTTAAATTAACAAAAAATACACGTGTTAATGAATTGTTGGTGTGTGGCACGATCACAAGATGGGTTGAAGATTTACTTTTTGCGTAAATCAATCAACAAAAGATTTTTGTAATTTTTTTCTCCCGAGATAACCAAGAATTGTGTCGAAAGATACATTGGAAACATTATAAACTTAATCTTCAATTCAGCTTTACATTTTTGTACAACGGACACCGGGCTCCTCAGGGCTTGGGCCAGTATTATTCAGCATATGCTCGATATTCTATGATTTTATGTATACGATTTCGTTTTGTTTCACTAGGAGGAAAATCATCAACTGCGTTAAATACAAAAAAGCTGCGGCTGAAAAAACAATAAGCTATAGTTGAACGAAGGCATAAGGCCAAATATGAGCCCATGCAGTGTAAATATCGTTAAGGTTAAAGTCAGAGGTTGTGTCTTGGGGAGGCACAGTGGGAATAGTTGAATATCTAGGTCTGCATTTAGATCGGCGTTTAACTCGGAGCTTATTAATATTAATCCTATGTTGAACCTTTCCTACTCACTCCTATGGCAGCTACGCCCATTCTAAACGGACAATCTAAATTAAAAATCGACTGCTGTAAAACAATACAAATCCGACCAGTATTAATTTCTACCCTAGTTTGAGCATAAAGTACTAAGTACTTAAAATAGTTTTTTTTTTATACGTAGCAAATTTATTTTAACATCTACACCATAGCCAATAATGTATTCTCTTTAGCTTCAAAATCCTTCAAGTTGGTCACACCTTCTAGGCTTTGTTATCCGATGTGAATATAATAATTTCATTAAAAAAAATAAATATTTTAATGAAGTATTAATCCATTTACGTTTTCACGACTTATTACGACTTCGATCCTCTCGGACACCAACTCTCCATCTCAATCTACAGAGAGGATCGAAGTCACGATAGCTCAAGTGGTAGAGCAGCGGCGTATTTAGCCGAAGGTCGAGGGTTCGAATCCCGCTCGTGACACTGACTTTTTTTATCTCAACCAAGATCTTACATAGAAAGAATAATTAATTTTAATGAAGGTTTTATGGTAGGTAGTCATCATCGTCAATAAGTGACACACGGCAGAAAAGCACACAAATAAAATAAAATATATAATTTATTTGTAAAATAATAGAAAGACATATACTCACACGCTCATACATATTCAGAAATGAATTTGTATGAACAATAACAACGACAATAAAGGTAATCTAGCTTTCGACTAGTTTAAAGTTTTAGCGGAACTTCTTTTTGAAAAACTCCATTGTCTTAAGTTTACAAAGAACGATCGGATGGGAATGGTTATTATGAGCTTCTTCTTTGATATATAACGTACAAAATCGGAGCGATTAAAGTCGGTAATTGACCAAAAACGACCTGGTTTTCCACGAGGTAGGGATATGCTTTCTCACCCACCATATTTGCCAGAATTCACGATTTATTTTTATTCAAGTTAAGAAATTTACGTGAATTTTCATTTAATCCTATATAACAAATCGTTGAGAGACAACCAAAACTAAAAAAGAACTGTTTGACTACATTCCATATCATCAAATATTTCAAAAGATGTACACTTTTCATTGCCAATTATCAATCTTTTTAAAAATGGGTATTTTTCTTAGTCAACCTGTGACGAATATATCCCTTCGACAAACATATTCAGCTGATCTCTGGTGCTTAACAGTTAAGCCTTAACTGACATGTAAATGTCGATGTCTCGTGAGCTATTTGTGACAAATGCTTTAATTTGGTCATCATCAATGGTTGAAGGTTGCATCATTAAAGCATTAAAGTGCTTTGATTCTTCCAAATCAAAATTTCTGCTTCTGAACCGAGCGCTTCACTTACTTGTGCTTTCTCTTGAAGCTTCATCTCAAATTTTCCTTGCAGTCTGACCTTCTGTTTTTCCTTAGTAATAAAAGGAATAATTAAATGACGAAAATGTTATTTTCCCTTCATTTTAAATTAGCAAAACACCTTGTACAAATACGAAATCTCGAACGAAACCGCCAAATAAAAACACCTCGACTAATCTTTTTTTCAGAGCGTGTAAACAAATGGCTAAACAAACATTGCTTCAAAAGACAGGAGGGATAAACTCGTAAAGCAAACAAACACACGAAAAAACTAATAGTAAATTGATCTGTCTGGATATTGATCATGAGTTTGAGATGTCAACAGAGCCTGGTTAACAGCGTGAACAGGCGGACCAGAAGTGAATTATGAAGGCCCAATATAAAGTTTTCATAGAATATTTCGCCCCCTAGACTTTTCTCCGAAGCCGGTTAGTCCGAGCACGTCTTACACAAAATGCAATATTGCTCTAAATGTACTTAAAAAAATAAAAAATAAATAAAAATAAAAATAAAGACAATGTTTAATGTTTTTTCATTGTTACATTTCGTATTTATTTATTTTTGATATAAGCAATAAAAACTTGTTTTAAGAGACAGTGGTAGGATCAAAAGGTAGATTTGCTGCCATTCTGTCAACAAAGTATATATTTTGATGGATAAATAAATATTAAACCTAAAACGTTTTTATGTATATTTGTTATTTATTACTGTTACAAAAGAAAAATTGCTTACAATAATATGAAAGGTGGATAAATTTGGTCATGTAGTATCTAGAAAATGACCACATTATCACGTTTAATCACATCAAGTACAAAGAGGTAATATCTTAATATCTAATTAATTAATCTTTTTATGTAAGGTTTTGGTTGAAATGAAAAAGTCAGTGTCACGAGCGGGTTTCGAACCCACGACCTTCGGCTAAATACGCCGCTGCTCTACCACTTGAGCTATCGTGATTTCGATCCGCTCGGACACCAAATTCCCATCTCAACCTCACTTCTCGAATTTTCCATCCTTTTTGCCATTTTTCAAATGTCGTGTAATCTATTTGATTCTCGGCGACAAATGAAATGACCTTGGTAAATTGATCAATAAAACTAGTATAGCGACTAATACCTTTCACAAAGATTAATTAATTGAAAAAACATTCAATTAATTAAGGTTTTAAGTAGAGATAAAAAAGTTAGTGTCACGAGCGGGATTCGAACCCACGACCTTCGGCTAAATACACCGCTACTCTGCCATTTGAGCTATCGTGAATTCGAAACGAAAGCCACGATAGCTCAAGTGGTTAGAGCAGTTGCATATTTAGCCGAAGGTCGTGGGTTCGAATCCCGCTCGTGACACCGACTTTTTTATCTCAACCAATACCTTTCATAAAGATTAATTAATTGAAAAAAGTTAATTGGTCAATCGGACCACGAACTGTAATGGATTCATACTTGTCTGCTTAAATTCAGCTACATTGTTTTTTGAAAACAATGCTATGTAAAAAAATATGTTTTGTTTCAAAAGTGGTTATTGCATTAATATTCCTGCCATAATAGTATACTGTGCAAACAGTTAATCAATAAAATATAATATTCTAAAAATAATAATAATATTTTTTTTAATAAAGTCATTTTCCTTTCAACCTTGTATTATTATTATCAAACTTAACAATCACAAGTTAAAAAGTTTTTCTTGAAATATTAATCACCGAATAATAGTGGGTCGATAATCTTTTTATGTAAGATTTTGGTTGAAATGAAAAAGTCAGTGTCTACCGCTTGATCTACCGTGACTTCGGCAAAAAGGAGGGAAAAATTCGAAAGGTTGTAGGTTGAGATGAGGAGTTGGTGTCTGAGTAGATTGAAGCTGTAGATATCACGATAGCTCAAGTGGTAGAGCAGCGGCGTATTTAGCCGAAGGTCGTGGGTTCGAATCCCGCTCGTGGCACGACTTTTTCATTTCAAACAAAACCTTACATAAAAGATTAATTAACTGAAAGAAGCAAGACCACTAAGAACTAGTACACTAACTTAATATCTATGTTTTAATCAAATTTGTTATCAGAGCTTATTTTCGAAAGCGTTCGACATCAAAGTCCAACTACTTCTGAAGGCAACCGGTTCGAACCTCCTGTCGAGTGAGTCGTTTGAACTTCAATTTTATCCCTTCTCCTGTTAAAATGAGAATAAGTTCATTACGATCCTCTCATTCACAGCAATTGGTACATCTCCGTTGTGATAGATTGATGTTCGGTGTGATAGCGACATGAAAGCGTGTCGACTTTCATCCCGTTACACGCAGGATTTTAGCCGGCACGCATGTAAAACGTTTCTAAAACACGTATACATTTGACAGTAAAGAATCAGGGTCAGCATCAATCACAATGACGCAGTATTCATTAGTTACTGAAATTAGTTTTCTTCCATCGAAAAGTTCAACGAACTAGTGCATCTTGTTAACTCGTTTCACTTGTTAAACGAAACCCAAATTTTTCTCAGCATTAAATAATAATTATAATTAATAGATTTTCATGTATATTTGTTATTTATTACTATTACAAAATTAAATTGCTCATACAATAATATAAATTTGGTGGATAAATTTGGTCATGTAGTATCTAGAAAATGACCACATCATCACGTTTATTCATATCAAATATAAAGAGGTAAAATCTTCATGTATAATTAATTAATCTTTTTATGTAAGGTTTTGGCTGAATTGAAAAAATTAGTGCCACGAGCGGGATTCGAACCCCGCGACCTTCGGCTAAATACACCGCTGCTCTACCACTTGAGCTATCGTGACTTGGAACCACTCAGACACCAACTCCTCCGAAGTCTAATAGATCAAGTCATCGGGGGATAGATCAAGTCTTGTTTAAACCAAAATCTTAAGTGTTTAAAAAAGAATTTTAATAATATTTCAAAAATAATAATTAAAAACGTATCAAATTAAAAGAATTCGAAGCATCTTTGAATTGTGAGTCCCTCCACGTTTTGTGCTATTTGATTTTAATTAACACCCAGCCGGTCTGATATTTTAATCAAGTTATAAAGACACAAACTTCAGACCGAAGTTTCGTCCGTGTCCGTACTCAAAGATCACCAGGTTTTCGTTTTGAATGCGAAATTGTTTTTAAAATGTTTCCCTTTCGTTGTTTTTGAAACTTTATCTTAAAAATTTCCCAATGACTTGGTCAGAAGTAATATCGGCACGATGAATTTTTCTTGCTGCCCCTTTTTAAAAACATCTTGTTATCTTTCAGGAGTTTTTCTTTAAAACAATTTATTTTTATTTAACCCGAAAAAAAATTACTTTAAATTTTATCCATTGACTAATAAGCAGTTTTATCGACCGGAACAACTGCTCAGAAAATATTCACGAATAAATAATGGCCTGCTTAAAGGGGCTTCATATCAGACAGAACATCATCGTAAAATTCATTCACTGGATTCCTGTGCAGGAACAGGAGAACTTTGTTTCTAAGTTGGTAATGGCGTGTTTTTACTACTTTGTTGACTATTTTCATATCGAGATTTTCATAAATGATGTTGTTTAGCAGGGCTGACCTATTTTATTTACTGCTGTATTGTTTTTGTAATTTGTTTTCTTGGTAAATTTTCGTTATTGACTATCAAGACAATTTGTAAAATATTCAAACGGACATAAATTTCACTGTTTCATTGTTAATTTATTTAAGCAGTGAATAACGATCCATTAACTCATGCGGCTTGAAAACTTTGAGTCTAGTTAGGTGATGGAGAAGGTGGACTGCCTGGCCACGTCGACATGGCCTTTAAGCCTCTTTTGATGGGCAAAGACGGCTTTGAGGATTGTTTACTCAACTGGACACAGGTTGAAACATTAATTTCTAACTTGCGGATCGACCATTCTCTTGTCGGCAATTTGCTGGCGTAGTACCAGAGCTGTCAAAGTTCATGGTCTTGAGCATTGTTGATAAAGAACCTTACTTCTGAAGAACAAAGGAGAAGCAATGCTGAAAAGCCTATTCCGATTTTTCAGACAATTTGTTTTTAAAGGCATTAAAAGATCACTAATTTGTGATTACTTGCAGCTTAATTAAGTTTAACCAGGTGAACTACTGGAAGTCATCTTACTTCGACAATGTTTCCATCTGCCATATAACTGTAAATTAAAATGCAAAATTTCGTTATTTTTATCTCGTTATTGTTTGCACAGCTAGCAGATCTAGTCGATGTTCGTTCTCATTGGATTGCCTATCGTACTTCGGCATTTTGCAATCTTCAGTGTATGTACCTTTCTCAGATCCTCCAGATCTACAGGTCTACAGGGTGATGAACCTGTAGCTCGATCGTTCCCGTTCATCCTGGTCATACTCACGCTGGCATTGATTGTTAAAAGAGTTTCGGCATTTCGGATCCATTGGTTGGTCTGTGTCTTTCTCTGTGTGCATGTCCTTTTTACAGATCCGTTTATCCTCAGTCTATTGTCGTTCGTTTTTATCTTTCTCTCATCGCTGCTTCTCCATTTTCAGTTATCGGTCTGACCTAATCCGGATAATTGAATATGGTCAAGTTCGTCCTATTCACAAGTTTGACAATATGACTGGTGCTATATCATCAAATAGTATGCTTGATTTCTTTCTACCTTGCTGAAGGTACACTCAAACTGATACAAAACAGGATACTAGGACTGGATTGTACATCTACCTACAGGCTAAAAAAATTAACTTTGTTATGCTCTAAACTTGAAATTTAGTACGAATACGAAGTACCGGTTTGTGAAGTGTAAAAAGTACCATGAGCCTTGGTTACCTTGTTTATGATCATCCTGTTCTGCCAATTCCGGAGGGTTTCTCTTCCAGACGCGTTTGTTCGATACGCATTCAGCGATTGGTCTGTGCCTTTCACTGAGGGCATGTCCTTTGTACAGATTCTAAAAGTTATAGGTTTTCTAAAACAGGCATCTATAGCTAATCTCCGTCCAGCCACAGCCGATTCTCGCTCATTTTCTTTGTTTGTCCACTTTCATTTGTCGGTCTGACCAAAGCAACAAACATAGGCGTACCAGAATGTTACGACCCAGGACCAAGCTCGTAGACCTATCCATGTTTCACTATGTAACTGGTGCTATATAATCAAACAGTATGTTAATTTCTTTCTATTTTGCTCAAGGTAAGAACTCAAAGACTAAACTTTATTGGTCAGTGTACCTGCTACCTGTATGATTTTGCTGATGATACGGCAAGCATGTCAATTGTAGGAAATAAAAGTGAATTCATCTGTAAATTTGAAATTCCGCGAGAAAACGAAATATCTTGGTTTGTGAAGTATTAACAGAACTAAGAACCTTGAGAAGCATGGGCGCTTATGGTCATCCTGGTCTGTGTGTAATCATCTATTACCGCTGATGTGTCTCCCAGTCGCGTTTGTTCATTATGCCTTCAATGATTGGTCTGTGCTTTTCTCCGTGTGCATGTCCTTTGT